GGAGGAAAATATTGTGTTTTTTTAATAGGCTAGTTTCCCCACATTGAACGTATATACATTCCATTAGATGGATCCTGACCCCCATATCCCTTTGAAAGGGGTGTAGGGGCAAATATTGAAAAATTTGAGTTATCACAACTTTCGGGCCGAAATGGTAAGGGCCGGGGTGGTTCAGCATTTTGGAGGAAAATATTATATTTTTTTAATAGGCTAGTTTTCCCACAATGAATGTTCATACATGCCATTAGATGGATCCTGACCCCCATATCCCTTTGAATGGGGCGTAGTGGTAAATATTGTAAAAATTTGAATTATCACACCTTTCGGGCCGAAATTGTAAGGGCCGGGGTGATTCAGCATTTTGGAGGAAAAAATTATATTCTTTGAGAAGGCTAGTTTCCCAACAATGAATGTACATACATGCCATTAGATGGATCCTGACCCCCATATCCTTTTGAATGGGGCGTAGTGGTAAATATTGTAAAAATTTGAATTATCACAACTTTCGGGCCGAAATTGTAAGGGCCGGAGTGGTTCAGCATTTTGGAGGAAAAAATTTTATTTTTTGAAAAGGCTAGTTTTCCCACAATGAATGTACATACATGCCATTAGATGGATCCTGACCCCCATATCCCTTTGAATGGGGCGTAGTGGTAAATATTGTAAAAATTTGAATTATCACACCTTTCGGGCCGAAATGGTAAGGGCCGGGGTGGTTCAGCATTTTGGAGGAAAATATTAAATTTTTTTATAATGCTAGTTTCCCCACAATGAATGTACATACATGCCATTAGATGGATCCTGACCCCCATATCCCTTTGAATGGGGCGTAGTGGTAAATATTGTAAAAATTTGAATTATCACACCTTTCGGGCCGAAATTGTAAGGGCCGGGGTGATTCAGCATTTTGGAGGAAAAAATTATATTCTTTGAGAAGGCTAGTTTCCAAACAATGAATGTACATACATGCCATTAGATGGATCCTGACCCCCATATCCTTTTGAATGGGGCGTAGTGGTAAATATTGTAAAAATTTGAATTATCACAACTTTCGGGCCGAAATTGTAAGGGCCGGAGTGGTTCAGCATTTTGGAGGAAAAAATTTTATTTTTTGAAAAGGCTAGTTTTCCCACAATGAATGTACATACATGCCATTAGATGGATCCTGACCCCCATATCCCTTTGAATGGGGCGTAGTGGTAAATATTGTAAAAATTTGAATTATCACACCTTTCGGGCCGAAATGGTAAGGGCCGGGGTGGTTCAGCATTTTGGAGGAAAATATTAAATTTTTTTATAATGCTAGTTTCCCCACAATGAATGTACATACATGCCATTAGATGGATCCTGACCCCCATATCCCTTTGAAAGGGGCGTAGTAGCAAATATTGAAAAATTTGAGTATTCACAACTTTCGGGCCGAAATAGTAAGGTCCGGGGTGGTTCAGCATTTTGGAGGAAAATATTGTGTTTTTTTAATAGGCTAGTTTCCCCACATTGAACGTATATACATTCCATTAAATGAATCCTGACCCCCATATCCCTTCGACAGGGGGGTAGGGGCAAATTTTGTAAAAATTTGAATTATCACAACTTTTCGGGCCGAAGTTGTGAGGGCTGGGGTGGTTCGGCATTTTGGAGGAAAATATTGTTTTTTTTTAATAGGCTAGTTTCCCCACATTGAATGTATATACATGCCATTAGATGGATCCTGACCCCCATATCCCTTTGAAAGGGGTGTAGGGGCAAATTTTGAAAAATTTGAGTTATCACAACTTTCGGGCCGAAATGGTAAGGGCCGGGGTGGTTCAGCATTTTGGAGGAAAATATTATATTTTTTTAATAGGCTAGTTTTCCCACAATGAATGTTCATACATGCCATTAGATGGATCCTGACCCCCATATCCCTTTGAATGGGGCGTAGTGGTAAATATTGTAAAAATTTGAATTATCACACCTTTCGGGCCGAAATTGTAAGGGCCGGGGTGATTCAGCATTTTGGAGGAAAAAATTATATTTTTTGAGAAGGCTAGTTTCCCAACAATGAATGTACATACATGCCATTAGATGGATCCTGACCCCCATATCCTTTTGAATGGGGCGTAGTGGTAAATATTGTAAAAATTTGAATTATCACAACTTTCGGGCCGAAATTGTAAGGGCCGGAGTGGTTCAGCATTTTGGAGGAAAAAATTTTATTTTTTGAAAAGGCTAGTTTTCCCACAATGAATGTACATACATGCCATTAGATGGATCCTGACCCCCATATCCCTTTGAATGGGGCGTAGTGGTAAATATTGTAAAAATTTGAATTATCACACCTTTCGGGCCGAAATGGTAAGGGCCGGGGTGGTTCAGCATTTTGGAGGAAAATATTAATTTTTTTTATAATGCTAGTTTCCCCACAATGAATGTACATACATGCCATTAGATGGAACCTGACCCCCATATCCCTTTGAAAGGGGCGTAGTAGCAAATATTGAAAAATTTGAGTATTCACAACTTTCGGGCCGAAATAGTAAGGTCCGGGGTGGTTCAGCATTTTGGAGGAAAATATTGTGTTTTTTTAATAGGCTAGTTTCCCCACATTGAACGTATATACATTCCATTAAATGGATCCTGACCCCCATATCCCTTCGACAGGGGGGTAGGGGCAAATTTTGTAAAAATTTGAATTATCACAACTTTTCGGGCCGAAGTTGTGAGGGCCGGGGTGGTTCGGCATTTTGGAGGAAAATATTGTGTTTTTTTAATAGGCTAGTTTCCCCACATTGAATGTATATACATGCCATTAGATGGATCCTGACCCCCATATCCCTTTGAAAGGGGTGTAGGGGCAAATATTGAAAAATTTGAGTTATCACAACTTTCGGGCCGAAATGGTAAGGGCCGGGGTGGTTCAGCATTTTGGAGGAAAATATTATATTTTTTTAATAGGCTAGTTTTCCCACAATGAATGTTCATACATGCCATTAGATGGATCCTGACCCCCATATCCCTTTGAATGGGGCGTAGTGGTAAATATTGTAAAAATTTGAATTATCACACCTTTCGGGCCGAAATGGTAAGGGCCGGGGTGGTTCAGCATTTTGGAGGAAAATATTAATTTTTTTTATAATGCTAGTTTCCCCACAATGAATGTATATACATGCCATTAGATGGATCCTGACCCCCATATCCCTTTGAAAGGGGTGTAGGGGCAAATTTTGTAAAAATTTGAATTATCACAACTTTTCGGGCCGAAGTTGTAAGGGCCGGGGTGGTTCAGCATTTTGGAGGAAAATATTGTGTTTTTTTAATAGGCTAGTTTCCCCACATTGAATGTATATACATGCCATTAGATGGATCCTGACCCCCATATCCCTTTGAAAGGGGTGTAGGGGCAAATTTTGTAAAAATTTGAATTATCACAACTTTTCGGGCCGAAGTTGTAAGGGCCGGCATTTTGGAGGAAAATATTGTGTTTTTTTAATAGGCTAGTTTCCCCACATTGAATGTATATACATGCCATTAGATGGATCCTGACCCCCATATCCCTTTGAAAGGGGTGTAGGGGCAAATATTGAAAAATTTGAGTTATCACAGCTTTCGGGCCGAAATGGTAAGGGCCGGGGTGGTTCAGCATTTTGGAGGAAAATATTATATTTTTTTAATAGGCTAGTTTCCCCACAATGAATGTATATACATGCCATTAGATGGATCCTGAACCCCATATCCCTTTGAAAGGGGTGTAGGGGCAAATATTGAAAAATTTGAGTTATCACAACTTTTCGGGCCGAAATGGTAAGGGCCGGGGTGGTTCAGCATTTTGGAGGAAAAAATTATATTTTTTGAAAAGGCTAGTTTCCCCACAATGAATGAACATACATGCCATTAGATGGATCTTGACCCCCATATCCCTTTGAATGGGGCGTATTGGTAAATATTGTAAAAATTTGAATTATCACACCTTTCGGGCCGAAATGGTAAGGGCCGGGGTGGTTCAGCATTTTGGAGGAAAATATTAATTTTTTTTATAATGCTAGTTTCCCCACAATGAATGTACTTACATGCCATTAGATGGATCCTGACCCCCATATCCCTTTGAAAGGGGCGTAGTAGCAAATATTGAAAAATTTGAGTTATCACAACTTTCGGGCCGAAATTGTAAGGGCCGGGGTGGTTCAGCATTTTGGAGGAAAAAATTATATTTTTTGAAAAGGCTAGTTTCCCCACAATGAATGTACATACATGCCATTAGATGGATCCTGACCCCCATATCCCTTTGAATGGGGCGTAGTGGTAAATATTGTAAAAATTTGAATTATCACACCTTTCGGGCCGAAATTGTAAGGGCCGGGGTGGTTCAGCATTTTGGAGGAAAATATTATTTTTTGTTAATTGGCTAGTTTCCCCATAATGAATGTACATACATGCGATTAGATGGATCCTGAACCCTATATCCCTTTGAAAGGGGCGTGGGGCAAATATTGTAAAAATTTGAATTATCACATTTTTTCGGGCCGAAGTTGTAAGGGCCGGGGTGGTTCAGCAATTTGGCGGAAAATATTATATTTTTTTAATATGCTAGATTTAATATGAATCACATCAACTATATATTTTTGTGAAAGTAATATGTACCGGCGCTATGATACCAGCGTTATATAAATATCCATATTATTATTATTATTAACTACCGAAGGGCACACCTGCCACCAAATTCCCTTTTCCTGGTATACCCTAAAATATAATCTTAACAGGAGAAATAAAGTTTCTCCCTTCTGCGCAGCCCTTATATTTCTACAGTTCCCTTCTCCCCTTTTCTAGCTAGGATGATTCTGAAAGGGTCACAGCCCCCCCCCCCTAGGATTGACCCTTCTATAGACTAATTCAGGTGTTAGGACATTCATGACAAAACTAGGTATAGGTATAGGAATAACTCTATAACTCTATTGTCAAATAAACATGATTACGTAAGCATCGCACTGCAAAGGACTACAATATTGAGATATCTATTCTTTTAACAGGTTCTTGAAGCACAGAAAAGACAGAGACGAGAGCAGAAAAACCTCATCCAAACCTCTCCAAGACCCTATACATATGACAAGGTAAGCTCTCAATCCACCAAACTCTAATGTCACTTTATCCTTTTTCAAAATGCAAATGCAAAACAGCATTGAAAGGAGTTGGATTGTTAAAGTGACTTGGTAACATTGTCTTAGATTCTGAAACAAAATCCTGGATTTAGCTCATGCTGCAATGATAATTATAAACCTTTAGGTCAGTCAGGAACCCCATGACTTTTACAAGCCGATCGTCTGTCTAATCATCAAGAAAGTTATGATTGGATATCGAAATCAAATTTTGCGTTTTCCAAACGGTTTTTATAACTCTACAGTCTATTGGGGAAAACGAGAATGTTGAAACCGGTCACTCAAAGATTTTTACTCTTTTTTGAGGCACTTCTTGACTGTTTTGAAGCTCAAATTTTTTAGGGCTTCAATATTACACCATATCACAGGCACTGATAACACGTAGGGCCGTGCATCTCAGATTTATATAAAACGATGCCTTTAATTTGTTGTGTACCTACTAAAGTTGTAGGAACTTTGATATCCTTTCAGATGATACAATCATGCATGAACATTTTTGTTTGAGTTTCATTTTAGTCCTTTTGTTTAATGCTAAAGTAAGAAACAGCCTTGAATACGGTAGCATTTAATAACTAAATGTGTTCTAGTTATTTAAAAAGCTTGATTCCTGCTCTAAACATTGATATGCATTGGTCACCATATACATGTAAAAATGTGTGATTGAAAATTTGAAATAGCTATTCTTTTTGTATCATACGTTACACCGGCACAGCTAGAGTTAAGAAGAGAAACTACTTTGTGAGTGTGTTGTCTTTTATGCCATATCTTTGAGCCACTTTTGACCAATTAAAGAAAAACTCCAGTTCTGGTCATGCGATAACATTATGAAAGAAAAGGTGTGGAATGCATCAGAAAAAGTTGATCATGTAGCATGTAAGTATTGGTGTGTACTGCAAGGTTCTGGAGTCATCAAATTCACAACAAATTTGGCTCAGTCTTGGTAAAGTAACAAGCACACTACACAGAAAGATGTATATGGGACAACACAAATGGTGTCGGGGCTAGTACTACTTGATTTCCTTATCTTTCTATGCTCATTACTCATCCAGTATACATTTTCTTCCAAAATTGTTTGGCACATGACATTTATTTGTAATCTTGAACATTCAGTGTAAATTTTGTTAGATTCTGTGAGAATTGATTTTCTCTTTTTAACCAGAACTAAAGTTTATCTTTAATGATGACTGTGTGTATTGTCTTTTAGGGATGTGATATGTGGTCTCTTGGAGTGATCATCTACATCATGCTCTGTGGTTATCCACCGTTCTACCCTGACACACCCAGTAGACAACTCTCTAAGGACATGAGGCATAAGATCATGGCTGGACAGTATGAATTCCCCACAGAGGAATGGTCGCTTATATCAGATGAGGCTAAAGATGTTGTCAAAAGGTATATCTCATAACCTTCCCTTTCCTAAATTCCCAATGTGCTGATACTCCTTACTTTCTGATCCTTTTAATAAACTCTCTCCCTCTTTCTGCAAATATCTTCAAATATAATGTACCATATAAAAGAGGTTCTACTATCTCAGTCTAACCATACTTATAATTACCCTTATAAAGGCACAATTACTTTGGTTTATTATGTTATTATTATTACTCCTGGTAACTAGATTTCTAGCCCGCATACAAGAGTGCACTACCTCTATTCCCTTGAGAGTATTCCTATCATAATTTGCAACATTCACATGCATGCATGCTGGATGCATGATGGTATACTAGTAATGGCAAAGGCTTCACCAATCCTCATCAGTCTCCTCTTCAATAGTGTCAAATGTAGATTAAAGATAAAGACTAGTTATGGTCATGCGATTGCATTGTGAAAGAAACGGGGAATCGATCGGAAAAGGTTGATCATCTAGCATATAAGTATCGTTGTGTACTGCAAGGTTCTGAAATCATCAAAATGATAAGAAATTTGGCCCAGTCTTGGTAAAATACTGAGCATTGTACACAGAAAGATGTATATGGGATTATGCACACGTGCGCGACACGTGTGTTATATCCATCAGGTCCAAATAGATATAATAATTTACCGAATATATCAATTAGTAGGCGGTTTCTCAGCAAAATTTGTATGATCACGTATTAGTAAAAACATATTGTTTCACATAATTGGTAATAAGAGCTACCATTTCATTTTTTGAGAGGGGGTGTTTCTAAACTGGTCTTTACCTTTAATGTATTGCCAGATGTAAAAGGATTTGAACCTTTGACCATGTGATCTACAATAATAGTGGATTCCTGTAAAGTGCTCATGCCACTAGCAGTCCATTATTATTACCCCGCCCTTTTTGTTGTTGATTTGTTAAACACATGCACACCCACAAATATTTGTAAAATGTCAATGTCACATGCCACACACCCACTTGCAATTTTGTTTTCTTTCTTTACATTCTTTCCACTTTTTATTTAGATACTTTCTGAACAAAATCTTTATATGTGACACTCTATTCTCCTACATCCTCCTATAACAGCGACATGTACCCCCCCCCCCTCTTCCCGGCTGCTATCGACTCAAGCATTCATGCTTATGATATTTGGCCACTGCATTTATCTTGATTTCTTTGACTTACCTCCATACTTTCAAGTTTTCAATTTTATATATATATATATACCGGTATGCATTTTTAAGTGTGTGTATTTCAGTTGTCACTTTTTTACATAAATCAATTATTTCATATACTGTTATTAATATTTGAATGTTTTGTATTTGATTTATCAATAAATGCAGAAACATTTTTTTTTTAATGTCATTTACAAAGTTCAATTATATGTATGTCTCAAGGGGCATAAGGTGCCAAGAAAGTGAAATGTATTATGAAACCACATGTACATCATTTTGTGACAGATTGCTGAGGGTGGATCCAACAGAGAGGCTTACCATAGAAGAACTATGCTCACATCCCTGGTTAAGAGAGAATTCAGCACCAAACACTGAGCTTCATTCACCTGCAATCATGCTAGATAAGGTAAAATCACAACCAATGGAGAACTATTACACTTCGTCCCCAAATTAGCATATACTTGCTTGTTGCTTTTTTTCTAAATGAATCTGCAGCAGTTAATGATAAGAGTGTTTTTCGGAACTGCAACTTCTTTGAAGAGGAAATTAGACAGTCCAGTGATATATCCAAAATATTTAAATTAAGGGGCACCTTACATTTTGATAATGAGGAAAGGTATGGTCCAATGGGCAAATTACTTTTGAGGTAGAAAATAAATCATCAGAATGGGGAATTATTTCCCAGGATGGGCAACATTTTCCAATCAATAAATGGGCACTTTTTCACTTTTTCACTTTTTCAGAACCGTTAGTTGGATTCCTGCTAAACTTTGGTCATGTATATATCTTGCAGAGCCGATGAATTGATTACATTTTGGGGTCACGAGGTCAAAGGTCAAAGGTCACAGGGCTCATTATGTATGCAAAAACAGCTTGTGAACGCGTTATCTCAAGAACCGATTGAAAGATTCCTGCCAAACTTATATCATGTATGTATCTTGCAAAGCCGATGAAGTGATTAGATTTTGGGGTCACAAGGTCAAAGGTTAAAGGTTGCAGGACTCATCATGTATGCAAAAACAGCTTGTGACTGCGTTATCTCAAGAACCGATTGATGGATTCCTGCCAAACTTAGGTCATGTACATGTATGAATCTTGCAGAAACAATGAACTGATTAGATTTTGGGGTCACAAGGTCAAAAGGCTCAGTATGTATGCAAAAATAGCTTATGTTCGCATTATCATAAGAACAGAATGATGGGTTCCTGCCAAACTTAGGTCATGTATGTATCTTGCAGAGCCAATGAATTGAGTAGATTCTGGGGTCTTGAGGTCAAATGTCAAAGGTCATTGGGCTCATTATGTATGCAAAAATAGCTTGTGAATGTATTCTCATTAGAACTGACAGATGGGTTACTATCAAACTCAGGAAATGTATGTATCTTGCAGAGCCAATGAACTGATTAGATTTTAGTGTCATGTGGTCAAAGATCAAAGGGTCATACATGTATATGAAAAAAAGCTTGTAATCATGATATTCTGAGAACCTGTTAATGGTTAACAATCTTTATGAAGTTGAATTTTGAAAATTGCTTCTGTTTTGGTTGGTTAAATCGCTCTATGGTGGAGGCATCATTTTAGACTGCACGCAGTTGAAGGTCCATCTAGTTTATGATAAGCAAGAAATAATTTCACACATCTCATAGTTTTCTCACAATTACTGTTTGTTTTGGGGTTTCACTTTTTCTGGGATGCACTGTATTTAAAAGATTTTATTAGTACACTTCTCTTAAGTATTAAGCAATATGATTATTCGTTTACAATGAGCAGATGATTCTAAATGTTTGTGACCTGATATTGTATTTATTTCAGAACATGCTTGATGATGCTAAACAGATTCACAGCGAGCAGCTGACCGCCATGAGGATACCTGACAAAAAGGTCATGCTCAAACCAGTTGCTAAGGCTAACAATCCAATCGTGAGGAAAAGAATTCTTACCAGGTATTAAAGTAAAAACCTTACTCATTAATATGCTACCAAGTTAATATTCACAAGTGTATATAAAAGAAAAGAAATTGCGATTGAGAAATTCTAAATTATAGTTTTCATAGTTTATCTTGATACAACCATCATACCATATGAGTGATATACAGGGTGCCCCAACAAAAACCCACCACAGCTGAGATCTGTAAAATGTTTTATGTTTTATTATGTAGAAAACTTTTTTCAAATAAAAAATAAAGAAGATGATCATCAATTTGTGTTATGCAATTGGATTCTATGGCTAATTTTGAGACGTATTGTTGTTTTCAAAATGTCCTACTTTAACAATCGTTGTCATGCATGAGGCAGTGAGAAATGTGTGCACGTCAGCTTCCAATACAGTCAGCTGTACTGTTAAAAGAAAAGAAAAGAAAATAGCCTCTGTACAGTTTTGAAAAGGTCACAATAGTATGAGAAAAAGATGCTTCTTTTTTTTTCATATGTCAAAGTTCACTGTTAATATGGCATCCTTCTTCATCCCATGTCAGAGGTCAATCCATCGACAACAAGATTGGAGAGGAGCAGCCTCCTAAGAAGCAGAACAGAGAGAATCCAGAGGGAGTCACATGCCTTAGAAATATTATTGCCCATTGTATAGTACCGCCTAAAGGTAATATATTAGTTTTTATTATATCCCTCATACTAAGAATCTTGCAATCTGATTGGTCTAAACGAGGTCACATGATAAATGATAGATAAGTACTATCTCCCTGCGATAGGACTTTTGTAAAGTAATTTTTTGCTGCTGCCCCACTTGCGTGACTTGCGCATTGAATAAGCATAGCAAAGGAGGTTACGCGAAATGTCAGTGTCAATGTCAATGTCAAATGAGCGCATCGACTGTATTAATATACACATGTTGTGCTTTGTAAAATCTAGCTGAAGCTAAACTATCTGCAGAATCAGTTGTTTTAATTATGTAAAATTCACTTTAGATAGACCTTATTGCCGATGTGGGATATAAAATAAATATTAACCTCCTTTATTAGGGCAATGGATACAAACTATCATCGCCTCGGTGATCTCGGGGCTACCATCTTCCCTCGCCTTGCGGCTCAGGAAGATAGTAGTCCCGAGATCACCTCGGCGATGATAGTTTGCACCATTACCCTCGTAGTCCATTAATGTTTACTTAATATACTTCATTTCAAGATTCTGATTGGTCGAAACTGTTGGCATTAAATTGACTGACTGCTAACCTTGGCCCTTGAAGTATTCAATACTGGTATACTTTGCATGTATGAAGCCAATGAAAACTCATTCTCAGACTCATATTATTGCATGGGCCTAATATTAGTCACATAGTGGTGCTAAAGGTGTTCCAAATTTGACTTGGTCTTAGCTAGACCACCATCTCACAGTGCTTGTGGCATTCAAGGAATTCCTTCTTATTACATTCCTACTGGCACTTACATGTAGGGTAAGAGTGGTGGACGAAAGTCTTGACAGAGCATTAATTAGATGCTGAAATAGTGGGAAAGATATTCTCCTTCTTTCATTGTTTAAAGTCCCGTTAATGAACAGTACAGTGCGTCCCAGAAAAAACGAACCGAGAATTATTGATGTTTTATCATAACTTTATCACAGTTATAATTAATAAATGACACATATTTGTAAAGCTTAGATCCTCCTCTTTCATTTGATGCTATTCATATGATGCATATTTCACGTATGAGTGGGTAAAAACAAGTTTGAAGAAAGGGTACCAAAAAGTCATTTGGCGAAAGGTATCTGAATTTCAAAGAGAAAATCACATTTCCAGAAAGTTCATTTTATGCCCTTTCATATGACACCTCAATCTGGAAAAATGAGCCAGGAATAACAAAGTTCTGTTTGAGATGATGTTTGAAGGTTTGCATGGTGGTATGAACAATCGCGGAAGAGGTTTACGGTACACCATGTGTAAAGTCCTAGAAGGACTAAGGAAAGTGGATAGAAATAGAAGTGAAATGGAAAGGCGAGAAAGTGGAGGTTGGAAGGAAGAGTATCTTTCGGAAGTGAGTATAGTCCTGAAAAGGACTGTAAACCAGAAAGTTGTAGACAGGATGAGAGGTTTGAGTAGAAGACTGGATTGAGTTCTGTTTGTTTAAAGTAATGCTTGCATTTACATAATTTCATAAAACAAATTCGTTTTCACTGGCTACCTGCCGTAGCAGCAAACAACAAACTCTGTTTCGTTAACGATCAACCATGCATGAAGTCTTTTTTCTTCTTTGTTGTTTAAAGCACTACATCAAATGAAAGAGGAGGATCTAAGCTTCACAAACATGTGTCATTATTATTAATTATAATTGTGATTCAGTTATGTTAAAGTATCAATATTTCTCGGTTTCGTTTTACTGGGACGCACTGTATATTGTTATCAAATTTCAATGCAATGAATTGACAGTCAATGTTGACTTAAAGGTACTATGTCCCTTTTGCAGGCCAAAACAATGAGAAGGTTAAATTCCAATGGCATTTGAAAGATAATACTAATTTAGAACTCCCCTTAAAAAAAATGGGGCTTGAAAATGTCTTTAAGTGGGAAAATAATGACTATAATTTGTCAAATCGACTTAGGAGCTATAGAGCCAATAAGTAATAGTCTTGATTTTCAGACCATTATACCGCATGGTCATACGTTTTATGTGGGTTATTGATGTAGACAAATCCTTTACAGCTCATTTTATGTATGTTATTACCAAAGAAGAAGAAAAAGCCAGTCAGTCACTCAATACTGACAAAAGTGTCTGACAGTGAAGTCTAGCAATTAAACGGGTTTCCTTGCATAATTCGAATATTAGGACACTGCTAACGTTTAAATTTCACAGATAGGACATACATGACATATTCATAATTCCTGCAAACAAGCCTTTTCTTAACCGGGCGCCGGGCGAGTTTTACCCAACGGTCCCTGACTTTTGGCGCCCGGTAAGACGGGGAAAATGAGTACCGGACGCCGTTCATTTTATATTTTTGGCGCTCGGTCTGGGAGAATTAACATTTCCTGTTTTAGAAACTTTCACATGTCTAGCACTAAATGCTCACAAATGTGACAAAAACGGAAATAGATCACAATTTCGGAATTTCGCGCACAAAGTCATCGTTGGCCGATCAGGGGAAATGAGATCAATAATTCTGATCGCCGATCAATGAAAATGATCGGAAAATAATCGGTAGATTTTTTAAAAATATGCCGACAATTTTCAAGTTTTGGGCTATCAAATTGAAATACTTAAGTCATGAAAAGGCACTTCATATCAACTATCATGGTCTACAACAACTCCAAATGACAAAATAATCCCAGCTTTACATGTTTATTTAGTATTTGATAGCCCTAAAACTTGACAAATTCGATTTTTTTTTTTTAATTTTTTTTTTTTTATTTATTTTTTTAAATTTTTTTTAATAATTTTTTTAAAAATATTTTTTTATAAATAATTTAATTCCCTCTTCCTAACATTGTTCAATCGTTGACATTTAACAGCATGAAAATAGTTTTAAACATGAACTACAACAACTACAAATGACAGATTTATCCAAGGTATGGTTGAGTGATGAGTGCTCACAATTTAAAGTAGAAATACGTATAAATAAAAGGTAACGGTAAACAAATCATTTAAAAGAATACATATTTTCATCAATTTTGGAAACGGCTCCTGGTCCTGGAAAACGGCTCCCGGTTCTCTAAAAAAAATAAGGACCGGGAGCCGCTTTTTCAGATATTTGGCTCCCGGTCTGCTTTGACTTAAGAAAAGGCTTGCCTGCAAAGTTCTACAGAATTTGAGGTTGGCTGCAAAAGGGACATAGTATCTTTAATATCTCTCTTGGTTTGTAGATTCACAATTTTCTCTATTTCTTTGTTGATTAGATGCAAATGGAGAGGATGCACTTTGTGAGCTGATGAAGAGAGCTTGTCAATATAACAGAGATTGTCCCTCACTGGATAAAGCGCTAAACAACCTCTCATGGAATGGTATGCTCCATATTTTCATTCCTTTTTCTCTTCTATTTTACTTGAGTTGTAAAAATGGAAGGCATATTGAGAATCTAATAGAAGAATAAGGAAAGAACTGGTTACCTTTGAGCAGTATGATTCTCAATAAACTGTTGGTTACTGGTAAATAATATTTTCTAATTTTTTGTTGTTGATGGACTGAAAATGTTTGAATAAATTTGGCTCCATTCAAATATGTAAGCATGGAGAGACGTGTAGAAATTAGCTTGCAGTATAATGCTTATATGTAATCATCATTTAAATAATATTTTTTCATATGAATTACAGTGTAGTCACCTTTTCTGATCTATGTAGGAGCTTGTTTGAAATTTTTATTCTGAAGTTTGCTTTCCTTCTGGTCCAAAACTTTATTTTCCCTTTAAAGCTACAGAATCAATCTCTCGCTTTAATAGACTCTGTACTTTACTTCCTTTATCTATTTTCTGCAGGAGAGCAATTTTGTGATAAAGTTGACCGCTCTGAACTAGCTCTTCTTCTGAAGGACATCGTAGATCAGAAGGAGAGACATGAGAAGTGCTGACTCATTCAACCTTGCTTCCTTCCTATCTTTGGCTTGGACAGATGGAAGCAAGTTTTACAAGAAGTTGTTTAAAAAGGAAAGTCCATCTTGGTATATAGTATACAAATAATACACAGCAGTGAGGGCATTAGTAAGAATTACCCACACAAGGTACCTTTGGAACAGTCTTACACGCCGGAGGCAATAGCCGAGGGTGTTTGGACTGTTTTGAAGGTATTGAGTGTGGGTAATTTTACTAATGCCCGAAAAAATGACGTGTATTATTTGTTTTATAAGATTATGTTTTATTTTTTAAATAAAATGATGTTTTATAACATGATTTTACTAATGACCGGTCATTAGAATTGGATAATGACCGGACATTATCCAAACTTACACGTTAGGCAAAATAAATCCCTGGTCACGTGTACGCTTTCAACCAATCATTTGATTAGGGTCCACGCCATCATCTTATAATCTGTTTTAATACAAGCAGAATAAATGAAAAATACAGATTTGTGACAGTTTAATCAATTTTCAATTAGGAATAAGAAATTTGTGAATTTTGGAATTTCGACCCGGTAATCAAAGAAACACATATTGGTAAATCTGTGGAATACCGTATCTTGCGAAATCCTCTCCTATTGCTCTGGACTGTAAATGTCATGTATTTCCATTTTTTGTGCTTAGTTACTGATAAAGTTACAGATCGATTACATACAGGGGTTGTGTAAAATCATACATACAATGATTACAGAGGATTGGTAGAGGATATTGAAATATACATCATAGAGTTGCCATTTTGTGTTTGATCAATTTCAGCTTTAAATGTTCCTAGCTACATGTAGCTTGATGATTTTTAAATGATTTTTGATCAAACTTTCACTGATCTGTTTCTTTATTTTTTCTGCTTCTATCAACACTAACTAAATAATAGGGTAGACTACTTCTGAATGTTTAGTATATTTCATGGAGATGTTTTAAAGCATTTCATCAGTGAATTTTCATAGCATATTATGTGTATATCAAAATGTGAAGAATTTATATTTGTATGGCCTTTATGTACAATATTCATATAGCTTATCTCATAAATAAAGTGAGATACAAGTTGATATTATCATGTTTCGGGTGGAATTACAGATTTATTTCCACTCATACTATTTTTATAATAATATTCTTTGATATTAGGGTGGACTTCACCCTTAAAGAGAAGGTTGAGTTCTGATGGGAGAAGTGAAAAATTATTTGTGAGCATTATCATAGTTATTATGAAATTGTGAAAGAACTTTAGAGGAAAATGTTTCCTGAAAAGCATGGCTCTTCAAATGCCTTCATATTCTAAATATATGACAAAGTAACAGTTTAAAAATGATGTTCGATTTGTATCCCACATGTCTGTGAAGTCCCATATACATCTTTCTGTGTACAGTGCTTGTTACTTAACCAAGACTGGGCCAAATTTCTTCTTGATGATTCGTAAACCTTGCACTAGTCTACACACCAATACTAATATGCTTACAATATTAACTTTTTCTGATCGATTTCACACCGGTTCTTTCACAATGCAATGGCATGCATGGCTCAACTTTATCTTTAAGGACATGAATGCCATGGTGACTGAGGATTGAACCCATGACCTTGGCATCTCCAGTCAAGTGTTTAAACTACTAGACTATGACACCCCTGACACTTGCTACATGTTTATGGCAAAAGTAAAAGAAGCATGAAATAATTCCGAAAACGCCACATTATGAATATACACTGATTTTCATAAAACCTTTTTGATCTGACCATGCAGTCAGTCTTGTTCATGCATGAAATCTAACTTAAAATGAACGAAAAAACATCTATGGCATGAACCAAAAACAAATAAATTCCCACATCAAAATTGAAATTAATAGCATTAAAAATGCAAAAACATACCTTTACTTGTGTACTTTGGCCGGAGTATAGGGCAAATCTCCGCTCCCTGCTGTTTATGTCAACGGCAACAAGAGTTATAATTTCTCCAACATCAATGGCAACGGAGGCTTGTCGCTCCCAGAGCAACACTTTAACAGACTCTTGACTCTGGTCTTTCCTGGAATCCTGCTGCACCAACTGTTTGAAGACGTTCGGTCCACTTCTTCTCTCACCAACCTAATAAATATAATCAACAAAAAATACAACAAATCACATTTCTACTAAGGCAATATCCTAAGATCTCTCGAGCATCATCACTTCATGCCATAGATCTTTTACCAAACAAAAGCATTCAAAATCCGAAGAAAAAAACTATCTTGTCCGAGATAAAACTTTAAAAAACAAAACTCAATTCTACCAAGAAACCACAAAAAACCACAAAAATATCTACATATTAGCTTATGCATACAAATCAAATTGAAAAAACCTTTAGAATAAATATTTCCAATCTTCACAATATCACATTATCATCACATACGGTAATTAAATAAAGTAAAAACTTCCATATTACATCTACCTATGACTGTCAATATATTTTGGTAGTTTACAAAAATCCACAAAGCAAGATACAAAGAATTTCTCTGTCAAAACAAAACAAAAATACACATACAAACTAACCAAACCAAAATACTTTCCTGTACTATGTTTGCATGGGCAGCAATTTGTGAATGCCTATATCAAATGTAAAACATAACAATATAATGTTTAAATTACACACTTCTTCTAGTATGCCATTGTAACGCCCATATCAGGTTACAAGGGAGCTAAAATAATAAAATGAAGAGAAGAAAACAGTTGCTTGTGGTGAAATTGGTGTCAACATGTTCAATCATACACTTGTGTTTTGCTGAATATTACTGATTGAATTATAATTAACAAAATTTAGAGAGGAAGGTTTGCTAATATAAATATTATCGCAAGCCAGTAGACAGAATTATCTCAAACTATGAGATGTTGATATGTAATTGTGAGAAAAGAAACTGAACAAATGGCCATTAACATGAAATAGTTTTAATGCTACAATGTGTGTGATCTGAAATAAATTTGATTAGTCTACTCATTCTGTGTTACATCTACTTTCAAATTTCACTGCCCAAACTTGTTCTGATTTTGGATAAATTGACATTTGTAAACTGTTTATATCTTGTCAAAACAGGACCAATATTTTCTTTATTATAAATTTTATGAAGAATTGTTTATAAAAGTTTGTGTGTATATATACACACATGATACACAGCTTTTTTCCACCTTTATTTTTTCAGTATATGTAGATGTACATGTAAGATAAGCACACCCCCTGCCCCTATATTATATTTCTGATCTTGTTTCAATAGTATGAAGAAAATTCATCTTATTAAAAGATGAAATAATATTTTTACATCAGGAAAAAAAGTATAAACATGTTAGAGAAGTCCTATTGACTGGGCATTATGACTGGTGGCAGTACTTCCTAGACAATATCCTTTATTTTTAAACTTCCAGCTTTGTGGTATTAAGTTTGACATTAAGACTCTTGCAACCCAAAGATGGACAGTTGATTTGTCATAATATGCAGTACTAGATTGTGTGAAAGTTCAGTAATCAAATGAGAACATATGCAGTAAATCTGAAATGCAATAGACATGCACTTGTATTGCATATTTGTAAAATACATATACAGGTACATACCAACATACATGTAGAATGCTTATTGTTATAGTTGCTTCCAATTAAAAATAGTGTGTGTCTAGGAGTGCAAATACGCTTACCGGTAGTTCTTTTTATCCATGATACTTTCTTCATACATGTGTATAAGTATGACAATGTAGAAGTTATAGTTCAATAGATGTATTTACAAGGAGAACAGAAGAGCTAAGTCATATTTTCTGTAGAGTGATATATCAATGAAAATGATACTTAAATATGTGCTCAATTCTGTGCCAAGGTACATGTATTGAAATGCTAGATTATAGTTACCGTAATTAACGGTGTATTAACCACACTTTTTTTTATTTATTTTTTTTATTTATGCCCCTCCACCTGGCGCTATGCCTGGCAATGTCTCCCAGCTCAGTAATCGGTGTGTTGACTCACCACTTGGAAACTAGAACAACACTCAAATTTGTCTGTCATCTTGGTTTGAAAGTAATCTTTCTGATAGATTTCAATTAGTTTATAATAATAATTCCTCCAGTTTTTCTTCTATTACATGGCGTACCTCAAGGTTTTATCCTAGGTCCTCTACTGTTTTTGTTTTTTTTAGGGCGAAAAAAAGGGGTGCGGTTAATACACGAGGGCGGTTTATATAACGTTAATTACGGTATTATATTTCTATTCAAACAAAGTTAAGAAGAAGGTTCAACTTGTTTGATTATTTGTAAGAAATCTGGAAACAATTTGTAGGTAATGAATATGGATAGCATATTCTGCTTATGTTAGTGGTTGCTCAGGGTTATGCAAAAATGATAAAATGGTCTGATTGTGGTAATGAATTTACTTTTGATATGAAAGATGAGAAATCTCTACAAAATATTTTTTCTATGACGATTAGAATACTGTATGTATATATTTGGAATTGAAATGTAATGAGAATAGAGATTTATTCCTTTTGTGTGTTTTCAATAATTCAATTATGAATGTAATTGGACTTTAGTTGACAAATAAACAAAAACTGCACATGTCTTTTCCTTGAAACAACTCTTACTACATACTTCAAGATGCATGTTTTTATTGTACAATATATTTGCTGAATCACCTTTTGCAATAGAAATTCAATGATTTGAATTTTTACTCATAAACCCTTATGGTTATCAGTTTTATTGATAAATTTTTAGCTGGCAAAATTATTTGATGGTGTCATAATGACTAATTTGTTTAAATTTGATAGCATTCTTCCATTTTAAAACATGTTAGAATATGGACTATTCCATTTTATCTTACAAATCATACTGTGTTTATAGGAAATATGTATATGTTTATTGTTTTGGTATGGAATGTGTATTTTTACACCTTTTTAATATTGGTTGATAAATCTGTAACAATATACTTCTTGGTGTATACAATACTTTTTCTTGTAAATTGAAATAATCATACATTTGTTGATACATTACACAAAACTTTAAAAAGATCTTGGCCAAAATAATCTGAAGGAAATTCCTGTATTTTAACATTTTTTATGGTTATGTTATGGGTCCCCAAAATATGTGTAGTTTTAAATTCAAATCACCACAAATGCTACTCCCCCCTAATGAAATGAAAATGAACAAAGATGGTTGTTTTGCTTAATAATTTTTAACAATGTTACTTGAAGCTTGAATAGAAATTTGCCCCTAAATAAACTACTTTCTTATCTGTTGCCAAACCCCCTTTTAAAATGTGTTAATATTTCATTGATTACCGGTATATGAATTAATTTAGTGGTATTGACCACATTTCCCCCTTCTGGTTACAGCTATGGCCTATGTCATACTTATTTCGTTCACAGTTTCTGCCTACTTGCATGGTTTCATATCTAGGAGAATTTATTTCCCAAATTTATTTACGAAGTATATTAATTACCATGAGAATATATGGACTGTTGAATTGGAATATATATTGGATATATAAATACATTTATGAAATGAAATCTAAGTTTGGAGTGATTTATTTTCCTGACTTTCTGAATTGTCTTCTTTTCTTTAAGGTACTAGCATTAAACATACATTTCAATTCTATAATAAAACATACATTACCGGTACATAATTTTAGGTTGCTTGCAGGCCTGTACGCAGGGGGGGGGGGGGGGTTGGGGGTTGAACCCCCCCTTTTAACTTTTTTTGGGGGGTGTGTTTTGGAGGAAACCCCCCCCCCTTTTTTTTTAATAAAAAAAAAAATGGAAAAAAAATTGTGGTAATGGGGGTGACCCAAAAAAGCTGACCTTACCCCCCCCCCCCAACGAAACGAAATATCGATCAGCCCCCCGCTGGTTGCTTGTATGGAGTGAATGTTCAAAGGAACTTGTTGTGATAGATCAGTAATTTTAGTTATTTTTTATTTAATGGAATTTGTCTATCATTCAGCATTTAAAGCGAAATCCAACCTTAACAGACAAGTATTCTAAAAGAAAGCAGAAAAGTCAGAGAAGTAGACTGGTGAAAGTATGAATTAAATCTGACAAAAAATATGAAAGTTATGAATTTTTGAAAATTGTAATCACTACACGTATGGGCACTTCAAATTGGCTGAATCAGTAATGTCACTGTGACGAAGTGCTGGACTACTTTCCCATTTTTTTTTCCAACACACAAAATGATTAAAATGTCAATTTCTTGAAATGTATGATGTGTAAGAGGGTCTTATATATTTTTTTAGAGGGACAATAATAATATGCTATCCATGTTATATTTTCAGTAGTGCTTCCAAGGGAGAAGGCACTTAGACCAAAAAGAGTTATAATCATATATAATAGAAGTTGGAGTGTGTTCCTTCATTTTAGGATTGTCTCTGCCGAACGGATGGAAAGGGAAGAGGAAAAAAAAAATTGAATTGGTGGTCATTAACTGGATGATGATATTATTATATTGTTGTTTCTGCTGATTGGTAGCTTTATGAGTGTCAAGATTGGTTGATTGAATGGCTAATGTGGTTGACTATATATGTCTCATTTATGGATTGATTGATGGATTGATTGATTGATTGATTGATTGATTGATTGATGATTGATGGATTGATTGATTGATTGCTTGATTGATTGATGATTGATTGATGATTGATTGATGGATTGATTGATTGATTGATTGATTGATTGATGATTGATTGATTTATTGATGGATTGATTGATTGATTGATGATTGATTGATGATTGATTGATGGATTGATTGATTGATTGATTGATTGATGATTGATTGATTGATTGATTGATTGATTGATTGATTGATTGATGATTGATTGATGGATTGATGGATTGATTGATGATTTATTGATGGATTGATTGATTGATTGATTGATTGATGATTGATTGATGATTGATTGATGGATTGATTGATTGATTGATTGATGATTGATGGATTGATTGATGGATTGATTGATTGATTGATGATTTATTGATGGATTGATTGATTGATTGATTGATTGATGATTGATTGATGATTGATTGATGGATTGATTGATTGATTGATTGATTGATTGATGATTGATGATTGATTGATGATTGATTGATGGATTGATTGATTGATTGATTGATTGATTGATGATTGATTGATTTATTGATGGATTGATTGATTGATTTATTGATGGATTGATTGATGATTGATTGATGATTGATGGATTGATTGATTGATTGATTGATTGATGATTGATTGATGGATTGATTGATTGATTGATTGATTGATGATTGATGGATTGATTGATTGATTGATTGATTGATGATTGATTGATGATTGATTGATGGATTGATTGATTGATTGATTGATTGATTGATGATTGATTGATTTATTGATGGATTGATTGATTGATTTATTGATGGATTGATGATTGATTGATTGATTGATTGATTGATTTATTGATGGATTGATGATTGATTGATTGATTGGTTTATTCTACTATTAATTGACGTGACCCTCACAAAACTTTGGGGTGGTATCTTTGAACCCATTTTTGTTTTAATTACTCTCATCGGACTGTGGTGTTGACTCTATGATTGGATTACACTATCATTATTAGAATACTATAGATGGTGATTTGTCTGATATTATAAAGGGGGCGTAACTGAAAGAAAAAAAAGTACTTAAACACACAGTTATACTTATACCCATAACCTAAACAAAAATCATGATTTGCAAAAAGTTTGAGAACCTGCCAGCCTCATCCAAGTAATATAGATCTTCTTGTCTTGTGAGAGTGAGCTAGGAGTGGCAAAAAATTGGATGGAGGAGGCCTGCCTCGGTCAGTTCTAAGTAGAGATATGTGACCGTTATAAGCCAAACATTTTGAGGGGCCTGAGCAAATGAGAGTTGGAATATTTTCTCAAGCACCAAGAACACAATAACATATTACTCAGATATTATAATAGCCCAGTTTACTGTCATATTCACATATTTTGATATCTTTTTCTTTTTCTGGGGACCTATATATGTTAAAGTGATGAGGTATATTCCAACTACCAGTACAGTACTTGGAATCCAGTCTGCATACATTGCTTGCTGCTATGTTTGGTAAGCCTCGATTGGTCAAGCTTTCGGTGTGTTATTAACAACTTTTTTTAAAATACAGTTATGCTTAAAATTTAAATATACCCCCCCCCCCCTCCCACTGAGTGTGATATAATTGCCCTTAGTAAATTATATACATGTATATCTTGTGAAGTATAGAGCTACAAAATGTTAACGTTTTGCAGTCATTGGAACTTTGCACTTTGAAGCATTAATTTTTAGAGAAAACAATTAACACTTTTTTGTATGATATCGTTTGATCGACACCAATTAAATTGACCTCAAAAAAGAAAAATGTACCCCACAACTAGATTATTGCCTCAGATTGCCTCTTAGTACAACACAATAAATGTTTCCAGGGATCACATAGTTATGCATTCAAGCATTGCTAGCATATGAAAATCTAGAACAGCTAAATACAGCTGGGATTTCAGCTAGCTCATATAAATCAATGAAAGCATGCCATCCCAGCACCCCCCCCCCCCCCCCCCTCCCCTCCCCCAACAAAAAATATATACGGTACGATACGTCGCCATCTACGGTCAGATTCAGCTGAAGCTACGAAGAGGTGCGTATAAAGTCTGTGAAAAAACATCCGATCTTTGTTATTGGAGATTAAAATAATTAATACCAACCTTATCTTGTCACGTTGTTTTGGAACATAAGTTTGTAGATTTACCTCTCTTTTTCCGTTTCAGTCGGCTTGTGAAAATGGACGAGCAGGAGGACGTCGCAGCTGTTGCTGCCGCTGTGCAGCCCACTTCTCCTCCACCACCCATCGGGCGACCATCTCCAGGTCCCGGGAATCTATCGGCGGCGATTACCACACGGCCGGTCGGGCTTGTGGTGCTGACTGGATTAGACGTGACGTATAATGCCATTCACAGAGCAATTTGGGATTCATTCAGCGCCAACCGTAGACCAGATAGAGTACCACTTAATTTTAAAACACTACCAGCTGACCACGAATACCCAAAGTGCCGATCAAAGGTTAGAATTATGAGCCCTAAGGCCAAGTAACTGCAGAAAGCTCCGACGCCGACACCAACATGACCAAAGGCGTCGGAGTTCCAGAGCCTGCATATGAAAACGATTCAAACAGCTGGTTGGGTCACATTTTTTCGAAATATAAAGAGAAAGTTATTACAATTTTGACTTACAATGTTTTTCGACTTCTGTGGGCATTCGTCCAACCACTTAAAATTATAATTTGAAGAAGTCTTTGATAGGAAAAAGGTTGGTTCTTCGTCCTAATCTGATGGTTCATCCATGTTGTATCGTCGATTTAACATGGCGAAGAGAAAGCTATAATATAAAGCACTGTTCACTCAAAATTGCTGAATATACATGAAATCCATGAATCAAAGGAAAAGCCCTTCTAAACCTAGTGGCAGTGCACATGCACTAGAGCTATCTGTGCATCCTCAAAATGGAATGGGAGCTTCTGTTTTAAAATTTTGTTTAAAGTTTCAAGTAAAATAAGTATTTCAGCTGCAGCTAACTTGTCTGTAACTTCATTGGGTAGATGTGATATTTACATGTAGATAAATTCTTCGATAGAAAGTGCTCTCAGAATACTGATTTTATTTTTGAGAATACAAATAATATTTAGATCGTGCTAAATCATGCTCATAATCCCAACTCTGGCCTGGCTTCCTGCACGCGCACCCACAGTGCAATAGTATTTGGATATCTTTGTTTTTACAAGATTTATGTAAGCAGGACGTCTTTTATAATTTCTTCAACTTGTCCATTCATGTATTAATATTATTGTTCTTCTGATTATTATCATCATCATGATTATTATTATTATTGAAATTATTGTCATTGTTGTTGGTGTTATTTTGATTTCCAAATTGTATGTTGCATACAGCAAAGGACATCCTACGAATGGTACATCCCTAAAGGAATCCTGAAGACAAGCTGGATGAAGAAACATCAAGAAGATATCCCAGGATTGGTCGTTGTCTTCTATGATCTAGATTGGGATGAACAACAGTGGAAAGAAAAACAAATGGAATGTGCTACCAGGGTAGAAGTTGTCAGGTATAGTATTTTTTTGAAATTCCAAGTGAATAATTTCCAGTAAAGTTTTTCTATTTATACCCTTCGAGAGGATTCTGAGTGCAACTTGTTACAAAACCAAACATTTCATTTCATTTCATTTCATTTCATTTTCATTTTTTTCATTTCCAACAAAATACAATACATAATAACGAATACAATATAAAATGTTTACAAAACATAGTTAAATTTGTAATAAACAAATCTTAATAATAATTTATACATTTTAGGAAGACAAAAAATGAATTTTAAAATTTAACTGCATTTATATTTTGAGGAAATGGAGAGGTTCACTGAAAAGCAGAGCTTGTAAATTGTGGACCCCTCAGATAATAATGAGTGTGAAAAAAATATGGAATACATAATCAAACATGATCATCTTATCATGATCATGGCCCCTGAGAGCTCTTTGATCCAAGTGTGAGAAGAAATATCAAGTCTTGAAAATCATGAGATGGGAGAGCAGAAATCAGCTAACTTCTGTAGCAGACTGGTTTATTCCATTATTATCCCAAGCCATGTGTTGGATGCAAGTGACACACACTTTGTGATCAGTCTACATTGCATAACAAAAGTTAGAACAACAATATTTTGAGGTGCAAGGAAATTTTTTATACTGGTACTTTGACAGAGCTTATATCACTATATTGGTGGTATCCTTGAAGTGTCACCTCTTTAGTTCTTGTATCACACTCAAAGCCATCCAGTATTACATGTTTATAAATATTGAACAGCAGTATTGCTCTGCGTCTCGACATATTTTGCCACATGAGTATTTTGCGTGCCTTTTTTCATGATTGATGACTACCAAGTATGCATTAGTTCTGTTCATACATGTTTACTGTAGATCATCTTTCTGCGATTCTCTTACAACTAAAGAAAAGACAAGGTACCAAGGTAGTTTATAGGCACAAATTCTTGTCGGTCGTAATGCACAGCAGAGGGTCTGAGCAAGAAGACTACGCAGAGACCTTGGTCAAATAGGCCTTGTTCTGCAGCTGCGCTTAGAGATTTACAGTTAGGCTCTGCTGAAGACTTTATTGAATTGTGTTTAGGTGTCAAATGAGAGTCTGTGCCTACATACAAGTAGCAAAAGCCTCAATGTGTCACATTCTTATCTTTTTATAGTGACATTATTTTTGTGCACAGTACTTATTGGAATTAAGAATATGAAATGTTTTTTTAAATTTTCAGGACAAGTCTTCATGGAAGAGGATCTAAAGTAGCTGTTGTATTGATTCAGAAGAATGCTCCTCTCCCTCCAGGTAATCTAATGGTTTGAACAAGTTGGGCCAGGATACTACATAACACGTAAAGCATTTTACTGACTCGAGCGGATTAACTGTTCAGTATAATTATGTGGACAGAAAATAAATACAAAACAACACAAATTAACATTATGTATAGGCGAGGTCAAGATTCCTCATTTGAAAGGAAGAGTCTTTGTCAACATCCATAATACACTTTTCATATAACATTAATTGTTCATGAAATCCCTCAAAAATCTTTAGTGTAAAAGTAATGGATGCCTAAAAGCAGCAGTTTTTCCCTTTTTGAAGACCAATGAAATTTGGTGTCATCAATTGTAGCATCAGTTGAAGCATCAAATCACTATTTTGTAAGCCTGAGGTATTAATCATTTTACAATTATGATGATAAAGATAATAATGGTATTGATAATTTTAATTTTACGGGCGTGCACATGCTAATCCAACCATATTGATGTTCACATCCTACCAGGTTTCCAATTAACACCTGGGTACAGAGGAGCAATATATACATGAAATGCTCTTCTCAAGGACATAAGTGCCATGCTGGGGCCGGGAATGCTTTGTGCATCCCATTGGATTGCTATTTGTAATTTTATTTTAACAAAGTTTCTGTTAAAGTGACTCAGTAACATTGCCTCAGATTCTGAAACAAAATCATGGATGTAGCTCATGCTGCAATCATAATTATAAACCTTTTGGTCAGTCAGGAATCCCATGACTTTTACAAGCCGATCGCCTGTCTGATTATCAAGATACTGATGATAGAAAATCTAAACCAAATTTTGCATTTTCCTAATGGTTTTCATAACACTGTCTAATGGGGGAAAACGAGTATGGTAAAACCAGTCACTCAATTTTTTAATACATTTTTTAAGGCACTTCTTGATTATTTTGAAGTGCAACTTTTTTTAGGGTTTCAATATTACGCAATATCACAGACACTGATAACACGTAGAGCCATGCGTCTCAGATTTAACATTGTTAAACGATGCCTTTAATGTCGAGTAAGGACTGTAACATCATGATTGTCTATATGTCTGTTGTTGATAGGAGAAGATGTAGTGGCAGCCGAGAGAGAGCAGCCGCTCTGTGTGCAGCATGTGAACTATCAGCCAAGTCTCTCTTTGTAACGTAATGCTTGTTGTTATGTTTGTTGTTGATAGGAGAAGATGTAGTGGCAGCAGAGAGAGCAGCCGCTCTGTGTGCAGCATGTGAACTATCAGCCAAGTCTCTCTTTGTAACGTCGTGATTGTTGATATGTTTGTTGTTGATAGGAGAAGATGTAGTGGTAGCAGAGAGAGCAGCCGCTCTGAACTATCAGCCAAGTCTCTCTTTGTAACGTCATGATTGTTGATATGTTTGTTGTTGATAGGAGAAGATGTAGTGGCAGCAGAGAGAGCAGCCGCTCTGTGTGCAGCATGTGAACTATCAGCCAAGTCTCTGTTTGTCCTACCATGTGTGGATCATCTCCTGGGTTATACTATCAGACTAGAGAATGCTTTCTACGAGCTCACACAGGCATACTACCACGGTGAAGCCAGGAGAGTCAAAGCGCACAAAGAATTCCTCAACAAAACAACTCATCAGGTAAGATCATTGGAACAGACTTTCAAGCAACTGCAGAATACCCTACTACCACAGAAGGAACCCTAAACCTAATCCTGAACCTGTGGCCTTACACTGAACCTGGGGTTTAATCCAGACCCTAATCCTTACAAAAAATCCTACCCTGAGACTGGGTTTTAAAGACACTCAGTAGTTAGCTCTCATGGGGAATTCAACACCATTCAGGTGTTTACCCAATAAGAGGTGCTGTCAATCACCAGAATTAGCCCTCAGTTTTATGACCACCAGGCCTTATGTAACATACTGCATTTTCCACCCATTTCCCCACAAGGTAAAGTCATTATCTCTCTTTTCCCACACCTGGAGATCTCCGAGAGACGAGGGGGTATTTCTTGATTGGCGTACAGGTTCGCTGTGTGCAGACCTAATACCTGTACACTAATGAGTTTTATCCACCAAGTCTGGTGTCAGCGAATTATTGCCTTTTGCCCTAATCCTAACCCTGACCAAAAATTTAACTGTCAAACTTGATATCAATTAAAGGCTGTTTGAGTAGTCTTACCTCACTTGTCCTCCTTTTTATGGTAACATTTAAGACTTAAGATTTGAATGCAAAGCCAGTTAAAGGAATTCATTTGAGATGCAATTATAGAGATATAATGTGATCATAAATGTGTTAATTATTTGATCATTGTGAGGATCTGTAATTGTTTTACTTATTAGTGATCATATTTTGTGTACTTTTCCAGCTGCTTTTTGTAAGACATGCTTTCAAGGTTGGATTCTTCAATGAACTCAAACAGGACACACACAATGCTCTCAAGTGAGTATAATTAGCACTAAGAGGTCATAATGTTGATTTGAATCATGTCTAGTCTGCAAGTTTTCTGAAGGAAAAAAAAAAATTAAAAAAAATTCACAGTTGACCTTCTCATTTTAGAGGTTTTGAACGAAAAGATTTATTTATACAGTCAAATCTGTCTATAGTGACCGCCCGAGGGAAACACAAATAGTGGCTGTTATAGACGGGTTGGTGTTGGCGGCCAATGATGATTTAATGATTGATTGACAGCGCGACACCCACTCGCTAGGCCTCTCGCAGACCTGCCGGGGCTCAGTTGAGCGAACACGAGGCAGAGATCTAGCCGAGCAATAAATCTAACAACGCAAGTTTATTTTTGGTGTTTAAAAATTAAACAAAGAGTGTTACGGTTTTTAGTCAAAATAAAGATATGAAATGATTTAATATTTTTAAAATTTCTTTTAAAGTAGATATTCATTGATTTTAAAAACTAACTTTATTCATATTATTGCAAAGTTGAAACTTTGATTCGACAAGGTTATCAGAATTCAATGCTTGGAAACATTCAAAGTAATGATTATCTTAAGTATCTTGTATTTAAGCATATGGAGAAGAAAGTATCAAGTAGGCTATGGGTTAAAAAGTAAGATGTTATGTTTACTCTTTATATGCCTCACAAATAATCTCCTTGTGACACACTGTATTTATCATGGGAAACATATATATATTCCAAAGATTATACATGTATAACTGTTTCCAGGGAACGATTATCATGGTGTTAAAAGGGTTGCCATGGGGCTATTAAATCAAGACCAGCAATATGCATTTTTGCAGAGCCATTGTGTTGAACAAACCAATCCTTACCTCGATTGGTGCCTATCTTGTGCAAAAATGTATGTGTGGCAAACAGGCGGCTTTGCAGAGAAGCAAAGAAAGCGATTGAAGTGTTAATCTTTTGAAGTTGAACACTGTTCTCCGTCTGTAAAAATATGATGTAGACCTCTAAAAACAATTCGCTCAATGTCAAATTTTTTGTCACCTTTCCCAGAAATCAACCTTTCTGTATTAAAGTGAAATATTTTCTTCTACTCCTAGCATCCCTGAGGGATTATTTAAAAAAATGATTTATTATATTAATGTGATAAATTATAGCTTTTGTGTACTCCTTATTTAAGACTTTAGACTTACGATAAAGGAGGACCAAAGCAATTCAATTTTTTTTTTTTTTCTTTTTTTTTCGGGGGGGGGGGGGGGGGAAGGGGATTTGATCTTTTATTTGTTCTTCTTCAGAAGTGCCCCATGTTTTATATTTGCGCTGGTGGTACTATGGTCTCTGGTTATACATGTCTACTTCTTCTCTTCTTGCAGACAATATAAAGCATCGTATGTCCACCTGACTGAGATCAGAGCACACGACACTAACATGCTAGAGATCAAGTCTATCGCCGGATTCCTCAACTATAAGGTATGTACACAATGAGGGGTCAGTGACACAAAGACGTTACTCTATTTTGGCCCTTTTGAGAAAAAGGGGTTTATGTGTCACTGAACACTTGGGCCTTAAGGAGTTATATCTATGTTTCACTAGCCATTGACTTAAATTGGGTGTTGGGTGGAGTTAAGTCTTTGTGTTTCCTGGTAAGCCCACATTTTTTGAACATTTTAATGTCATATAATCATTTTGTCAAAATATGTAGTTGCGTCTTTGTGTCACTGGACCCTCGTATTGTCATTTAATGTAATGTTGTACTACCCTTTGACACATGTTAGTTACATAAAAACTTGCTTTCCTCCTCATTACATGTTCTATGTATGTCATGGGGGTGTTTCACAAAGATCCCAAGTCGAACTGAACTCTAAGTTGTACTTAAACATTATGGAGAGCTATTTGTAGCGTTAAACTAAAATATATTCAAAAGTGAAAATTCAAGTATTTTATACTTTTTTATAAATTCCACATCAAGAACATGAAATCTCCATGATGATAGAAAATATGAATGATTTGAATAAACAGTTTATGCATTTTGAAATAAATTTTAGAAATTATTTTCATAGATGCTAGAACTGCTTTCCATAATTGTTAAGTCCAACCTAGAGATAAGTTCAACTTTGTGAAACACCCCCCTCCCCTGGTCTGAGAGCAAGATACATCAAGATACACTTGTGCATGCAATGTCTCTGGCTTCCAGAGTGCCGATAACATTGGACTGTGGAGCTATGCAAGAAAACACTGAAGGGTTTTATCATGTCATCATCGTTGATGATGAATGACAGCTTACATGTATGTAATGCTATCCAGTGTACCTAAAGAAATTTGTGATGAAATATGTTATTAAAATGATTTTGTGATAAATCAAGAGGTGTATATCATTTAAATGGAAAGAAACAGCAAAACTGACAAAATTTGTTTTAATTTTTAAAAATCATGTTAAGCTAGACACATGTATGCCAACACCAAACCGGTGACTGGCATAGCTTTCAATTAAAAGAGGTGTATTTAAATGTACTAAATATACATATGTAGCTAAATAGGTATCCTGAAAATAGAAAGTTTTGCCTTTTTCTCATTGTATGCCATATCCTATTTCTGGAGAATCTTATGTTGTCTTTTGGTTTCAATACACACAAAACCATTACATGCATTTGCTTTGTGTTTTTGACTGAACAGTTGAAAATTAAAATGCACTCAGTTTAATCTGTTTTTATTCAATTCAGCGCAGTTCAATTCATTTCAGAAGGCCATTTCCGTAGGCCATTTCCGTAATGTTTTAGATTTTCTGATGGTATAACTCTATTTTCAAATAAACATTTACTTTACTTGTATTAAAGAGAACTGTTGCTAGGCTAGAGACATGAGCGTTCCTGGATGGTGTGTGCGCTCTATAAGTGTACACTATTATTATTATTATTATTTCATTCGCCTGTTATGTATAATTGCATCTCAAAAGTCAGAATGTATATTGCATATATTACGTGTTAGGTAGGGTAAGCCATAATGATTGTCCAACGTAGCAGCAACTGTTGTATTCAATTCGCAATCTGACTATCGAGACATAATTATTTGTAACAGATGAATAAATAAATAATTTGTATGGAGGCATTTTATAAAGGCATAAGCATTAAATTTGGTTACATTATGACAATTGCAATTTTTTTATCTTTATTTCCAGATTTGTAGACTATGCTTCTTTCATAACTCGCCCCTGGATGCCATCAGTCAGTTTCGTAAACATGTGGATCTCTTCAAGAACAAGATTGGCTGTGCAGAACTAGCTTTTGAACATTCAGCTTGGATGTCAAAACAGTAAGTTATTCAGCATTTTTAAAGACACATGTTCACTTGACATCACATAGATAGCTTCATGAGAAAGTGATCAACAGGGAGATGTATTTATAAAGACTTAAAGGGGCTTTAGCATGGCAAATACTGGTTAACGCCAACGAATTGACTTGATGAACTGGGTCGGCACACGCTAGCGTTTGCAAAACAGACCGAAGTTCTCCTCATGCTTTGGTTTCGCGTATGTTGCGCGCATGTGAATACGTAGGCCTACTGCGGTCGCGTCGTCCGTAGTCGTATTATTACCCAATTGGCCCCGAGTCAGGCCGTGGAAAAGACGTAGTCTCGTCATGCTACAGCCCCTTTAATGCACATATAGAACAGGCCTGATAAAAACCCGATTTAAATCGGTTTCCCAATTTTTTTTATTTTTCCCGATTTTTTTTTTCTTCCCGATTAAAAAAAAAAAATCAAGATTTTTTTTTATTTTTTAATTTTTTTTTACCAGATTTTTTTTTCCCTTCCCTATTTTATCCTGATTTTCCCCGATTCCCCCTTATTTTCTCTATTCTTCCCTATTTTGCCCTATTTTTTTCTCCAATTTTCTTACTCGAAAGGGCGGAATGTTGTTAGATGCCATTTTTTCCTCTTCTTTTTTTTTTTTACTCAAGGGGGGCGTGGTTGAGGGGAAAACTCTTTTTTTTAGTGCTCACTATCACCCCTGATCCTGATATAGAATTAACCACTATCTACAAAGTGGCACTCTAATGTTGACATCATTACATCATACTTACACATTGGTTTTCTTCTTCACCTGTCAATAATCCACTCATAGAGCAGAGCTAGAAGGCAGCTGATTTGCATATATGTATATCTTGTATTATTGATTAAGTGAAATATCAAACAAATTATTTTGATCTCTACTCAAATGTGTGTTGTGGTATAGAGTACATGTCATCATGTTCATATCAAGACGACTACCAGCTTGACTTTGGCCACTGTGGACATATACCCCCATACAGTAAGTGGATGCGTCACTGGACTGTGGATCACATGGTTCGTGGTCTAAGTCATGCTGTGGCACTAATCATATGTCCTTTGCCAAGATATTTACTACACTTGCCACTCTCCACCCAGGTGTAGTAAATGGGTACCCGGTAGGAATTTAGTCCTTGATATGCTTTGAGCACCTGCTGAGGCCAGCCTTATTAAAGTATTCCGTAGATGCCTTGAGCATCCCCAGGGATGGGTATTTGTGCAGTATAAATATAGATTATAGACAATTTCTTCCAGGATAACAAGTCCTAAAAAAACTACATAGGGGTAATACAATAGGAAGTAGTTGTCTGGTAGGAATTGCTCGGAGGATGGGGTTGGTGTTGGGGTTCACTGTCTTGGCAGTATTTATCTGGGGAGATATTTTTTAATGGAGGTAAATGTGGGGGGGGGGGGGGGGATAACAAATATAGTTGTCCAAGTGTTTATTTCAGGGGGTAGTTGTCTGATGGATAATAGTGCAGGGAATAGTTGTCTTATAGACATATAAGCATGGGTTTTCATGGGAAAGTTGACACCATTCTGGTAGTCACCTGATAGTAGATGTGATCAGTCACCTGGAGTCTTTATTTTTACGACAAATCAAGGAAAAGTCTTAATCATAAATTTCCCGTCATGAGAAGAGGTTCTGAGAGACTGGGGGGTGTTCCTGATGGGACATCTAATTTGCTGCATACGGGGCTTGTTTGCACATTAATGGTATTTCCACCAAGTGTGGTGTCAGTGAACTATAACGTACTGCACATAGAAACTGCCGTCCATATCCTTTTAAAATCTCTTTTGCTTGTTATAGATTCAGTATCTTTGGTGATCTATTTGATGATGCTATAAAGCTTGGACTGACGGCTATCATGACCCAGCATCCTGGATTCTACTATCAACAAGCCGCTAATCATGCCATTGCTAGGAAGCAGCTCTGCAGAGGACTCTGTCTTGTAAGATGGTCCTTCCAAAACTCCTCCTATAAATGTGTTTGTTTACCAGTAATTTATATTGCTAATCATGCTATTGCTAGGAAACAGCTCTGCTGATGACTCTGTCATGTAAGATAGTCATTCCAATTCCTCCTATGAATGTGTTTACTTTACAATAATTAACATCAGGAGAGGTTATGAAGCAATATTGAATAGACAAAAGGTGCAAATTTACTCTAGTAAGTCTACTACAATACATGTAAGTAGCGTATGATACAGTCTGTAACCTAGCGTACTGTAATTTAAATAAACGATGGCATTGAGTTTTGGGCATTGGTATACTTCTCTAATCTATCTATTTATATTTTAAATTTAGTTTAGTACTACTTGTAAAAGTTTAATCATGGAAAAAGAACGATTGACTTTCTGGTGAAAACAGAATTAATTAGAAATTGACTTGCTCTTTGCCCTCAGGCTGCCACTAGCATGCCCTCGCCTGATCCTCTAGAAGGTATGCATCATCTCGAGTTCTGGGGTCAACGACCTTGGAGACAAGGTCATCAGAGCATTGACCCGCCTGACCCTCAGAAGGAGAAAGAAGGAATCTTAGCTCTCCAGTATCTAGAATCTACAGTCGATCATTCAGTAAGTCTGTCTTCTACTCTTATCCACTCCATGAGCTGGGGGCATATTCTGAAAACGATGCTATCTGGTTATGTTAGGGAAACAATGTTAATTGTCTTAACATACTGAAATTGCGTGGAACTAACACTTCCAATCGGTGCTGGCGGAGATATCTCTTTTAAATTTACGCAAATTTTGCTAACATAAAATATAACGTCATATTCTGAATACCACCCCTGAGGTGGTTCCGTGCGCAGGGTCTGTTATTATTCCTTGTTTTCTTCATACTCCAACTGCTTTTTGAGGGTAAGTTCATGGATTCTAAAATACGCATTGAGGTGATCAGGGGGGTGTTTCACAAAGATCCATTGTTAAAATTGTCTCTAACTTGGACTTATCAGTTATGGAAAGCCGTTAGCATCTATGAAAATATTTTGTTAAAGTTATTTTAAATGGCAAAAGATGTTGTTTCAAATCATTCATATTTTCTATTATCAAGGAGATTTTATGTTCTTGATGTGGAATTTATAAAAGGTCTAAAATACTTGACTTTTCGCTTTTGAATATATATTTTTTTTAAAGGCTACATATGGCTCTCCATAATTTTTTAAGTCCAACTTAGAGTTAAGTTCGACTTAGGATCTTTGTGAAACACCCCCCCAGTACACTTACTGATTTTTACTTGCTCAATGGCAAAATGTTTTGGAGGAATGTCTTTGATTTGGCAACTGTACTCATATGACATGTCTCCTAATATTCTTTGTTTTGTGTTCTTTCAGTGGATTATCATTCCTCTTCTTAGCAGTGCTGTAGCTCAGTTCAAGAAGTACAAGTCAGCGAGAATGAAGAGATACCTCAGTATGTATATTGATAATATCTCTCAAATAAATCAGGGGCAGTATTCATTTTAATACATGAATAGACCATTTTCTTTAAGATAAAGACCAGTTATGGTTATGCGATTGCATTGTGAAAGAAACGTTGTGGAATCGATCAGAAAAGGTTGATCATCTAGCATATAAGTATTGATGTGTACTGCAACGTTCTGGAATCATCAAAATGATAAGAAATTTGGCCCAGTCTTCGTAAAGTTACAAGCACTGTACACAGAAAGATGTATATGGGACTACGCACACGTGCGCGACACATGCGTTTATCTCTCACACACCAATAGATAAACTAATTTACCAAATATATCAATTAGTGGGCGGTTTCGCCAACCCAATTATGTGCAATAAACACATTGCATTAAAGGGTATTATTAAGTCCACCCTGATATGAAGTTTTAATAGAAGCAAACAAATGAAAGGAACAGGTCAAAGAAAGTATGAGCAAAATACGATTTAAAACTATAAGAAAGTTATGAATCTTTGAAGTTATGATCAATCAAAAACAAATTGGTAAGAGTATGGGATTATATTTGTAAGATATTCAGTTGTAAGGTCTTATAACCGGTGTGTTGGCTCAGTCAGTAAAGCGTCCGCCTCACAACCAGGAGGTCGTGGGTTCATACCAAAAGACGTTACAAGACGGGAGTTGCTGCTACCTTATTTGGCGTTCAACAATAAGGGATAGAGCAACGTCGATCTGGCGCTGCTTAGTGGCTGCAGGGCTCACGATCAACTGGGCGAAAAGACTTTCCATTTTTGGTTTAACTTGATAAAATTTGGAGTGGACTTTAAAAGATTATTATTATTATTATTATCAATTATGCTAAATATGATATCTTTTACAATTCAAATGAAGATAAGATCTATAGCAATAGAGCACATGATAACTGTAGCCCTGTACATACCAGTACGTGTGGATTTGAGATGTTTTTCAGGGTTTGAAGGAAAGCGTATATCATCTGTGGTTGGGCATACATGTAGGTTGCACCCAGCCTTTGCAATCTCTTTTGCGTTGGCCTTTACACCTGAAAATGTGGTATACAAATAATACACAGAAGTGAGGGCATTAGTAAGAATTACCCAAACAAGGTACCTTTGGAACAGTCTAACTAGCCGAGGGTGTTTGGACTGTTTTGAAGGTACCGAGTGTGGGTAATTTTACTAATGCCAGAACAAAATGATGTGTATTATTTGTTTTATTTCTTTTATAAAATGATGTTTAAAAAAATGATTTTACTAATGACCGGTCATCATCCAAATTACACGTTTAGGATCCACTTCATCATCTTATAATACGTAATATTGCCCTGCATTAAAAGAAAATTGTTTCATGTACTTGTAGACAATGATCTGTTTGGTGTCCTGTATCACACTGAGGTACTTGCCAGTCATTCCTATAGAAAATGCATAATAAGTTGACTGTTTAATGTTTTGTACTCACTACAGTGGTGCAGATGGGTGAAGAATACTACCACGCTAAGGACTATAGCAAGGCTCTTACGTAAGTACCTCTCTCAGACATTCATGTACTAATACTCTCAATAGTAACATTGCCAAAATGGTTATGAATGAAAACCTGATTGTATCATACATCATCTTAATTTAGGAAGCCTCTTCTAAAGTATTATAATAATAATTATATTTGCTTAAATAGCGCCTAACACTTACTTTATCATCAGAAGTCTCTAAGTGCTCTACAAAAATGCAGCATAATTACCCTGGCTTTAGCAGTGCAGCTGTCATGTCCGCTCCATTTCTACAAATGAATTCCCCATTTACTTCACCTGGGTAGAGTGTTGCAAATGTAGATCAATGTCTTGCCAAAGGACATTATGAACATTTTTTTTGGATAGAATTTCATTTCATTTATGTCACATAAAGCTTTAATTCTATGCTCTCTGGAAAATTATTATCTCAACTTGATTCCTGCAGCTGTCAGGCAACACGTGACAGGGAATATATTCTACCAGGTACCAGGTATATCTATACCAGGTCCAGAGAGACTTAACGCTTTGTCAAAGAAAACGTTCTTTAAGCAAGGATCTTCAAATCTCTGGATCAAAATAAAAAAGAACCACTATACTCTCAGCATGGAGTGTATAGTGTAGTAATTTGTACTGTACATTTTAAAGTAATATCTAACAAAATGCAATCTATAGTATTCAAACCAGTGTTGGGGCATATGAAAAATGAAGACTTAAGTATGTGGATTTTAATAATTGTAAAGTTTAGCATAAAGGTTTGGGTTGACAAATCATCTGGCACGTATGTGATAAGACTTTCACAGTACACAAGAATTTATTTAATTGCAAAGCTCAATGTTTAATCTTCTTATGTTAATTTTCAGGCTTCTTGGACGAGTGACATGGGACTACAGACTAGAAAGATGGTGGCAGCTACTCACATCAATACTAGTGACATCTCTCAGGTAGTATATCTTCTTTGATACTGGTTACATTGTTCAGTTAGTACTACTCACATCAATACTAGTGACATCTCTCAGGTAGTATATCTTCTTTGATACTGGTTACATTGGTCAGTTAGTCTATTTACTACTCACATCAATACTAATGACATCTCTCAGGTAATATATCTTCTTTGATACTGGTGACATTGTTCAGTTAGTCTATATACTACTCACATCAATACTAGTGACATCTCTCAGGTAGTATATCTTTTTTGATACTGGTTACATTGTTCAGTTAGTCTATATACATGTACTACTCACATCAATACTAGTGACATCTCTCAGGTAGTATATCTTCTTTGATTCTGGTTACATTGTTCAGTTAGTCTATATACTACTCACATCAATACTAGTGACATCTCTCAGGTAGTATATCTTCTTTGATATTGCTCACTTCAATACTGGTTACATTGTTCAGTTAGTCTATGGTATATACTACTCACATCAATACTAGTGACATCTCTCAGGTAGTATATCTTCTTTGATATTGCTCACTTCAATACTGGTTACATTGTTCAGTTAGTCTATGGTATATACTACTCACATCAATACTAGTGACATCTCTCAGGTAGTATATCTTCTTTGATATTGCTCACTTCAATACTGGTTACATTGTTCAGTTAGTCTATGGTATATACTACTCACATCAATACTAGTGACATCTCTCAGGTAGTATATCTTCTTTGATATTGCTCACTTCAATACTGGTTACATTGTTCAGTTAGTCTATGGTATATACTACTCACATCAATACTAGTGACATCTCTCAGGTAGTATATCTTCTTTGATATTGCTCACTTCAGTACTAATACACTGTTCAGTTAGTCTATATACTACTCACATCAATACCAGTTACATCTCTCAGGTAGTATATCTTCTTTGATATTGTTCACTTCAATACTGATACATTGTTCAGTTAGTCTATATACTGTACTCACAATCAATACTAGTGACATCTCTCAGGTAGTATATCTTCTTTGATATTGTTCACTTCAATACTGATACATTGTTCAGTTAGTCTATATACTGTACTCACAATCAATACTAGTGACATCTCTCAGGTAGTATATCTTCTTTGATATTGCTCAATACTGGGGGGTGTTTCATAAAGAGTTCGTAAAGTTACGCATGACTTTTCAAATGACTTAAATATGAAAAGCCAAATGGGATGCTCAATCATTATTAAATATATCAAATAAAGTTGAACTGTGCAGATGTAGATTAACATTCTTATGATAACAAACATTTTATTGCAAAGTATAATTATGTTTTTGCCATAATTCAATTGAGGTTATTGAAAATATCAGAAAAGACTTTGGGCATCCTATCTGGCACTTCATATACAAGTCGTTCGTAAAGTCATGCGTAACTTTACAAACAGCTTTATGAAACACCCCCCTGGTTACATTTTTCAGCTAGTCTATATAATTATACTACCCACAACAATACAAGTTGAGTCATATACACAAAGTATTAAAGGTAATAATGCTCAATATGATAAATTAAAGATTTGATATGTTGTACATGTAGATGGTTGAGTTAATGATTGTATTTGATATGTTATAAATGTAGATCATAAAGTTAATGATTGTATTCAATACGTTGTTTGTACTAGGTGTGCATACCTTGTAGCCAGCGTGGAGGAGTATGTCACAATCAGTCTGGAGCTACTTGGCAGATGTATCCTTTCTTATAAATCAACCATTTATCTTGAATGAATTCAACATATATTTTACCATTTTTGCCTCAACGATGTACAGGTAGATAGTTTAAAGGCTGTGTGGGGATCATCAGTAGATTAAAGCATTTTCAATGCATCTATCTTAATAAAATGGCCATTCAAAAGAAAATGTGGCCCACATTTAAGGCATTCTATGCTCACTCCCAAATATTTACCAGGTAATTTAATTGAATTCTGTTGTTTTTAATCTTGCAAAAGATAATATAAAAATAAAAATCATGATATTTAGAAATTAAGAATTATGGAAAATAAGAATGTGCATCGCCCATCCCCCCATATGCAAATGAGGGCCAAGAAAAAGGAATTTCTTGCTGAAGTACATGGATCACCATGCTTTGCCCCACTTGACGCTAAGAACCACATACTCCATTTTTTCACAATAATCTTTCTGATATTTCAATCTAATCTAGCTGGAAAAAATGATTAGGCATATGCCAGTTATGAAAGATTGGAGGTAGAAATCCAAAGTAAAACATTAACTAAAATTGGGGATCAGTGATTGACTTGCAGTCAAAATAGCTAATGTCTGTTAGATTTGGGTGTCAAATAGAGATGTATAAATTATCTTAGGTTCTCTTTGTGTAGTGATGAATTGCATATATACTATAAGTTGCTGTAGTGCTAGTACTTGGTTGGGTAATCCCTTTGGCAGCTCACTCAGGAAGCTATACTGGGATGGTAGGTGAGGCGAGTAACTACAAGGAGTGTCATGAATTGCAGGTGTGGTGTGTGGACAAAGCACCGTTAATTTACAGTAAAATATGCTAAGTCCAGTGAATTATTTTCATGAAATGTATTTTTCTTGACTGGATTGACAATGGTTCAGATTCCCAGAGCCCGCCGGATGAGAAGACTAGAGTACAGATGAACCTTGTTAGGGTTCTCTCAGTAAGTAGAAAACTAGCATTCAATATTGGACAGACATACAGACAGACATAGATAAGTGAGAGTAAGTGAGAGTGAGGCTTCTCTCATTAAGAAGAGTACAAATACAACATTGGCAGAGATACATGGGGAAGGTGGGAGAGAGAGAGAGAGAGTGATAGAGAGAGAGAGAGAGAGAGAGAGAGAGAGAGAGAGAGAGAGAGGGAGAGGTAAGCTTTAATATGTAATATGGTCAAGAAACATACATTGGAACATGAATTTTTCACATACTTAAAATTACTAAACTTGGGAAGGGTATGAGTAATTTAGTTAACTGTATATTTTGGTAACATGGAATGGATAAGGAAAGTTGAATCTGTGATGAACTTGCTTTCTTGTTTGTTAGAACAATCCCCCTGAGCCTGAGCACGGGTGTGCCACTGATGCTGTAGAAAAAGCAAAGCTACTCTGGAAGAACAAGACTGGTAACCCTTCTCAAGATGAAAGCTCCCGAGTCTTCCCTATTGAGATGCGTAATCTGGTACCGTTTGTAGAATGCAAGGCTAAGTTCACCAGTACACGATTCACTGCCGACTCACTTGTCAAGATTGAGGTCTATTTACGGTGAGATGAGGGAATTTCTTCTTTTGAGAAATCATTTTTTTTTCCTCAATGTACTATTTTTTATTTTCAACATACATGATGAAAAGACAGACCAAACAGGATGCAAGATTATAATGAGAGATAAAATTGGTAAGGAATGCATTTTAAATGTCTTTTTTTTGTTATGGTATCTATTTTTTATGGAAATTAGTACTACCGGTACCTTTGGAATATAATTCTAAATGATCAAAACTTGCTTGTAGAATTTTCATTTTATTTGTTAAAAAATTTGGATGAGTGATTTGCCCCCAAATTGCTGTTTTGTTTCTGGTTTTTTTAATTTTTTTTTATTGTTTCTTCTTTTTGTATGAACAATAGCCTGCCCAAAATAGTCCTTTGAATGGCTACATGGGAGTGAATTATCAGCCACAAAAAGACAAGTCCTTTGCTGTTACAGTTTGAAATGGCTTGAATGGGTAGAACTAAATAAAGATTTAAAAAAACATGGAATACAGCTTACATCCTGGACTCAGAGATGACTTTGAGTTCTGTGAAATGTGTAATGTATTTTGTGAGCTTTTTATTCGTTTTTATGTTAGTGTGGAAGAGTCTCACAGATAACAAATTTCCTCTGAAAGGGATGGCTTTTCAAATGCTCATATTCAAAATATGACAAGTAATAGCTACAGTGTGTGGACCGCATTGTCATGCCACATGTTTGTGTAGTATCATTTCTGTGTATTGTGCGTGTCACTTTTTGCAAGACTTTTACTTTTAAACTTTATCCTTAAAGCTCAACGTGGTTTCAAAATAATATTTTAAGGTAAAGTAATGTGTCAAGCTGTCACCTCTATATGTGCTTTAAAGCCCCTCTGCACTAGTTTGGCCAGGAGGGATTAGACCCCCCTGCATCGTCACTGACGGGTGGTTACCTCATCAAATCAGCCCTCAATTAACATAAGAAAAAGGGGACCATGGGGGATCAATGGTCATTGATTAGGCATTGTTTGCTATAAAGAGGGCGCAAGTAGCTATAAGTAGTGCAGTGAGGCTTTAATATCTTCTAGTTTTCTTGATCCTTGGAAGTAAAAGAAAACAAAAAAAATTACCAATTCTGGTGTGTTTTTGTTGCATTGCAGTTCATCTTGCCAGTTTCCTGTTCGTTTCTCACGCTTGTCTGTTAATCTGAGTAACCAGGAATACAACAGCCACTGTGTGATTGTAGATGGACAACCCTTACAACTATCAGGTGATACAGGTCATGTGACTACACCTAATAATACTAGCCAGTCAGGTGATCTCTTCCTCAAGCCATGGGAGGTGGCCCTCTACAGCTTTCAGTTTGTTCCCTTGCCTGATGACATAGGCAAGAAACTAGAGGTAAAATTCAATTGTCTTCTTGGATAGCACTCTTATCCACCATGCAAGGTGCTCAACGCACTGCAATATTTCACCAGCCTTAAAGGGAAATCCTACCTTGGTAGCAAGTTGCTTTGAAGGAAAACAGGAAAATCAGAGAAACACATCAGTGAAGGTTTGATCAAATTCGAATCAATAATCAGAAAATTATTAATTTGTAATCACTGTACGTATAGGGAATTTCAAATTGGTGATTCTGTAATGGCACTGTGATGTAGTGGTGGTCAACTTTCCCATTTGTTCCAGCACACCAAATTAGTAAAATTTCATTTTTCCAACTTTGAGTCAAAGTAAGATCATTTTAACTTTTTAAGGACCTACAACATCACGTACCCATAACATATTTTGAGTATAGCCAGCATGAGGGAAGATGCGCTTAGGAGAAAACGGAAATTAAATTGATATTTTAGTGTACAACAAATGGGGGAGTAGTCCGAGGATACGTCATAGTCGAATGACCGAATTGCCAAATTGAAATTCCCATACGTGTAGTGATTTCAACTTTCAAACACTCATCACTTTCTTATTATATGTCCGATTTTGTTCAAACTTTCACCAATCTGTTTCTTTTATTTTTCTCTTTTCACACAAGTCAACTTGTTGCTAGGGTTGGATTTCCCTTTAAGTTCATTAAATCATCCCTGCAATCACAGCATGCAAGGAATTTCTGCTTGCGAGATTCCAATTTTATCTACACCTGGGTCGAGAGTGGCAGATGTGGGTTAATGTCTTACCAAAGGACATTCATCCCTTGCTGAGCTTGATCTCAAAACTTTTGCATCTCCAGTCAAGTGTTAAAACTACTTGACTATGAAAGCTACAATGGTCGTACTAAGAAACAAAAACTAATGCGTTCTGATATGAACCAAGACATACTGTTTGATTCATATTATGTGAGAAAGAAATGCACGATAGAATAATTTGGATTGCTTTAAAACTTCATTGTTACTCCTTAATGCCCTCTACATGAAAATAGTTCAGAATTTGCACAAACTGTTTCTGCTCCAGTTCACTCTCATGACTTACATGAATAGAAAGATGACTTCTTCTCTGGTGATAAAAATAATAACAACATAATATTTATCCAGCCCTTGATACTGCATTTTCAAGCGCTTTACATTGTAATTATTATAATCCTGGTTATTGGATTCAATTGCTGTTCCCCACATTAATGTGCAGTATTCTAGCCAGGCGCTATTTTACAACCGCACACATGCTAATCCAACCAGGTCAAATAAATGGGCCATGTACCCATCTGTACGCTTATTTTTGCTTTATTTTATTTTGAGGGGGGGGGGGGGGCGTTGGGGTTACCAGGTTTTATGCCTCAATCACACCTTTGCATATTTGGCTTGCATATTGCTGCGTATTTATGGCAAGCTGTTTTAACATTTATTCCTATTTCTTGATAATTACAAGAAATGAATTCTTGAAATCAAGAAATCAAATTCTTCATATCAAGAATTGCCATTGCTTTTATACCACAGAAAATCATTCCTTGATATCAAGAAATAGGAATAAAAGGCTTGCCATAAATACGCAGCAATATGCAAGCCAAATGCGCAAAGGTGTGACCGAAGCATTAGACTGGTTAATTTTAAACCTCTTTTCTGAATTCTGCTTGATTAGTGTAGCTGTAAAACTTGTCTATTGTATACAAATAGATTGCATCAGTAAGCCTAGCATTTGGTGATGAGAATGCTCGGTGTGCATTGCTGGTCTGGGCTGCTGGAGGATATGATGCTGCTTCACTTACTAGTCCACTAGAAAGCATTCCACAGAAGAGAGGACCAACTAAACATGGAGAGATAGACTGGAATGCTATAAGAGTAGAACCTCATACAAGGTTAGTAATACAGTCAAATCTGGACTGGATAGATATAGGGTAGTCTCATATACATCTTTCTGCGTACAGTGCTTGTAACTTTACCAAGACTGGGCCAAATTTCTTATCATTTTGATGATTCCAGAACCCTGCAGTACCCACCAATACTTATGTGCTAGATGATCAACCTTTTCTGATCGATTTCACAACGTTTCTTTCTCAATGCTAATTTAGAACTTCCCTCAAAACGAAAGGGCCTGAGTAGGGCTTTTAGTGGGAAAATAATGACCATCAGTTGTCAAATCAATTTAAGTGGTTGCAATCGCCTAAGTAATAGACCCTTTTACCGAATGGTCGTACGTTTTCAATCAGTTTAATTTTGGCCACTACAAGTAGTGGGTTATTGATGTAGACAAATGCTCATGTACCTGTTACAGCTCGTTTTATGTATGCTATTACCAAAAAAAAAGATGTCAGTGGGTCACTCAATAGTGTCTGACAGTGAAGTCTAGAAGGTAAACAGGTTTCCTAGCACAATTTGAATAATAGGACACTGCTTATGTTTAAATTTTACAGATAGGACATACATGACATATTCATAATTCCTGCGAAATGGACATAGTATCTTTAAACCATGTTCTTGTGTGAGAAGATAGTTGTGAGCTGTCTCATTCTTTAGAAAACCGTGCTGTTTAAAAATGGAATGCTCTTGAAATGGCATTTTATGGCCTATTTGAACAAACTTGTATCTGAATGAACAATAACTGGAGTATCTTTGGATCTTTGGGGATATTCAGTGCAAAATATCCTTACCATAATATGTTCAACTGAAAATTATTCTTTGTGAGCAAAGCCAATGATCATGACAGTAATATTTTCTCACATTTGTTTGTACATCAGCATCATGTGCCGTCCCTCAAGACTGATGATTAAACTTGATCAACAACCTCCCTGTTTGGAGAATGAGATCTACCATGTGCGCATTGTAATCAGTAATGAAGAGGATGTCTCCATTTCAGATGCAAGGTAAGGTCACACCATTGAGGGCCTAAGTTTTTTTTAATTCCTTTATTGATAGACCTCTACATTGCTAAGGATACTGTTTGAGTCCTTAAATAATGAAAACAATATTCTGTTTTTGTATGACTCATACCATATTTTTCCATGTGTACTTTGCAAATTAGAAATTAGATTGAATTAATTAGCATTTGTTTTGAAGTATCTTCTTTAATTCAATTTTGCATTTATTTAGTCTACAGTACAAAAAAGCATACTGGGAAGTTTAAAGGGAAATCCAACCTTTGTAATGAATTCCATTTACTTGACAGCAGAAAAATAAGAGAAACAAAATGGCGAAAGTCTGAAGTAAAATGATCCATATTAGAACGTTATGAATGATTGAAATAAAAAATCACTAAATCTGTGCGAATTTCAAATTGGCAATTTGGTCATTAGATTATGACCACAGACAACTATCTCATGGTTGTCTTGTACAAAAGTATCTTCAATTTCATATTTTTCTTCTTTAGTTCCTTCTCCCTTGGGGCACTTTTCAAAATATATTATGAATATCATATTGTAACAGGTCCTAGAAAAGACCCTCTTGAGTGATAGATTTGGAAAAAGTGACATTTTAGTAATTTTGTGTGTTGGAACCCGGGAGAGTTGTCTGCCACTATATCACAGTGACATCACCAATTCAGCCAATTTGAAATTCCTTTTGTATACATGTAGTAATGAAAACTCTAAAAATTTACAACTTTCTTATGGTTTGTCTGAATTCGTTCAAATTGGTATCTTTTTCTCTTTTAAATATTCTTCTTTCTTTTTACCAAAATGAAGGAAGTAAACCATTGACATGGATAAAAAAAAAAAAAAATAAGGAGCTTTGATAGCATGGAGATTCTATTGTTTGCCAATGCAACTAATGCCTTGCAAATTGGCCAAATTTTTTAGTGTTCACTTGTTTTAAATTTTGTGGAATTCTATATACAGTTGTGATTATGACTGCAGCAGATAACATGTTGTGGAGTCGGTGTAATTTTGTTTTGCTAGGAGATATGATTATTGTTGTTTTGTTTTTATACATTTCAGTTTGACTATGGGTCTGTCTGAAGGGCAGGAGATAGGCATAGAGGAGAGCAGTGAGTGGTTTGATATTATTATTATTATTATTATTATTATTATTATGAGATATTTGGCCTCATCTGTGCTTAGGAGGGGAAAAAGCAGGCTAAGTCCTTGGGTCTCTCCTCCCGGTATATCTAATCAGGGATTTAGAGGTAGACCACGACACTGGGATTTCTCCCTACTCTTATATGAATTGTGAAGTAGGTTCTTAACATGCAAAGTTTGTGACTGTAATATTCACAGGGCCTCCATTTAGTGGTTTTTTCCACTGTAACATAGCCTGAGTCTATGATCACCACGTAAATACTCTCCTATCTACTTCTCTCATCCGTATTCTTCATACTGTGTACTTTCCTTGCATATCCACTTCTCCGTCATAGAACTGGGGGTGTTTCACAAAGATTCTAAGTCAAACTTAACTTAAAGTTGGACTTAAAAATTATGGAGAGCCATTTGTAGCCTAAAAATCAAATAAATTAAAAAGCAAAAATTGAAGTATTTTAAACTTTTCATAAATTCACATCAAGAACATGAAATCTCGAAAATGTGAATGATTTGAATCAACATTTTATGTCTTTTAAAATAACTTTTAACAAATATTTTCATAGATGCTGACGGCTTTCCATGATTGTTGAGTCCAACTTAAAGGGATCCGGTAACTTTGTCTTAGATCCTTAAGAAATAACCCTTGATTTAGCTCATGCTGCAATGATAATTATAAACTTTTAGGTCAGTCAGGAACTCCATGACTTTTACAAGCCGATCGCATGTCTGATTATCAAGATATTAATGATTGCAATTACAAATTTTGAAAACCGTTCACCGAACGGTTTTCATAACACTACAGTCTATTGGGGAAAACGAGTATGGTAAAACCGGTCACTCCAAGATTTTTACTTGAGGAATTTCTTGATCATTTTAAAGCGTGATTTTTTTTTAGGGCTTCAATATTACACCATATCACAGACACTGGTAACACGTAGGACCGTGTATCTCAGATTTAACATTGTTAAACGATCCCTTTAAAGATAAGTTCAACTTCAGATCTTTGTGAAACACCCCCCTGAGCATGCAGTTGCATATGTCTGGGCCTAGACCTTCCAAAATAGCATTCAATAACTGAAGTAGGATCTTGCCTTTTCATGACAATGTGATCTGTAAATTTATGTATCCCTTTTTTGTGATTCCAGTCTACTCATAAACGTATCACATGGAAATTTCAACTTATTCCTTTTACGATAGCTCACACATTTTATCATCAATTATCTCATACTGTCCTGACGCCCCTACATGTATTTTATGAAAGTTAGTTTTTTAGTACTGGTAAATAACTTCACTTTGAACTTGAAGATTTTTGTAAGAGTTGCTTAACCGTGATACGAATGAATGGAATTGATAAGTATCACTGCAATGTGGAGGTGTTTTGGTCGAGTGGATACGTCACCGGACTGTCGATCACAAGGTCCGCGGTTCCAGTCCCGCCGCGGCACTAATGTCCTTTGGCAAGACATTGATCTACATTTGCCACACTCAACCCAGGTGATGTAAATGGGTACCTGGCAGGAATTAATTCCATGAAATGCTTGACCGCCGTGATGGCAGCAGGGCTAAAGCTGGGGTAATAATCGGGAGCGCCTTCAGTGTCAAGTCTGACAGATATGAGCGCTATACAAGAACCCAATATTATTATTATTATTACACAAGGATCTAAAAGCTTCAGGAAGTTTACCTTGTTGGAAGAAAAAAGTCCTTCATGGGGGCCACAGATGGGCATCTGTGAGTTGATTATGCAATGTTTTGTTATTGTGTTGTAGCTGAAGTAAGCCACGATGCTGAGCTTCTCCTGGATGGGAAGCAACCATCTCGACTGAAAGGAATCACTCTTGGTGTCATGGAAGCCAAGTCTAAAGTAAGATCTTCATCATTGTACAGTCAAACCTGCTTTAGTGAACACCTGGCTAAAAAGACCACCTGTCTACAAGGACCACATTTGTTGGTTCCCTTTAAAATGGTTTCTCATTGAAACATGTACTAAAGGAACCTGTCTACAAAGGCCACATGTCTATAAAGACCACTTTTTGTGTTTCCCTATAGACAGGTTCTACTGTATTATTGACTAGTGAAGGAGTGTGTAGTATAGACAGCCAAGTGTGTTGTGTTCATGAAGAATAGGTAAAAACTGTTGTTTTCATGAAGAATAGGTCAAAATTATTGTGTTCATGAAGAATAGGTCAAAATTGTTGTTTTCATGAAGAATAGGTCAAAGATGTTGTTTTCATGAAGAATAGGTCAAAATTGTTGTTTTCATGAAGAATAGGTCAAAATTGTTGTTTTGGGGAAGAATAGGTCAAAATTGTTGTTTTCATGAAGAATAGGTCAAAAACGTTGTTTTGGGGAAGAATAGGTCAAAATTGTTGTTTTCATGAAGAATAGGTCAAAATTGTTGATTTCATGAAGAATAGGTCAAAATTGTAGTTTTCATGAAGAATAGGTCAAAATTGTTGTTTTCATGAAGAATAGGTCAAAATTGTATTTTTCATGAAGAATAGGTCAAAATTGTTGTTCAGCTTAAGCCTGTCAAAATTTATATTAATGTTGCATATATAGATACATAATAAACTATTTGCAGAAAAAGCTATGAGAACAATATATATATATTGATAGGCAATTTTTGTTTACAAGGCTCTTTTCATCTCAGTCAACCCCATCTCATTTTAAATCAATTTCTTTGAATAGCTACCACCATAAATCCAAATCGTTACATCTGACAACATTGTCGGTGATCACTACAATCCATTATATAACCAACTACTGAAGATTGTAATTTGTATGAAGGTACCGAGTATACAGAGACACAATATTTTCTTGAATCCTTTCAGATTGAACGAGACCTATACATCCGTTGTACCAAGCTAGATGTTCGAAGTATCAGTGTCAGAGTCTCGTACAAGGTGGAGGTCAATGCAGGGTCATCGGAGGGGTCAAATGTCACATGTACCTGTTACCAAGACCAGGCATTTAGACTAGAGACTGTGACTCCGTTTGATGTGACAATCAGGATGGCTTCTCTCAAGGTTTGTAGCTTAGTTACAATGGCCCTTAATTCTTTTATTTAGCCATGTGCTACATGTACATGTATTCAACATGTTTGGGACTGAAGTAATAGCCCTTTTTCCTTTTCTGAATAGTTATAGAAAAAAGTATGTATTATTTTTCTTTAAAAATGACATCTTTTTCATTAAAAGGTCATATTTCTCTTCACACAATGATACAATAATAATTATGAGAAAGAAAAGACCACTTCTCTCGTATGAGACACTAATTGATCACTTTCTTTTTTTAACTTCGCCTGTTGATGACCAAACTTTACTGGTAGTCAACATGCAGTAATGATAGAGAAAAACAAGAAGGTTCTCTCTCTCTCTCTTGGACATCGTTGTTGTGAAATGTAATGGTTGAAGTTTAGTTTTTGGGTCCATGAAACCCAACTGAGTATTATCATAATGTAGAAGTGAAATAGAAGTCAAACCTGTCTATAGCGACCGCCCAAGGGAAACATAAAAAGTGGCCTTTGTAGACGGGTGGTCTTTTTAGACAGGTTCCTTTAGTACATTTTTTATTTTATTTTATTTCTGCATTTTTTTTCAAATAAAATATAACTGAATAACAAAGAACATATAAATGTAAGGTATAATACGAAATAAACAAACAATAATTTCTTCATGTCAAAATGTTTTTTTTTACATAATATATGTACATATAATAATGAAACTTATTATTTCCATATCATATTATCATAAATTGAAAGTATTATCCGAACTATTCTGTTGGAAAAGTGCAGGAGACCACAATCATAAGCAAAGCTTGACAAGGATGGCGGCCTCAAAAAAAAAAAAAAAAAAAAAAAAAATTAACATGAAAAACATGATTCAATGAGAAACCATTTTCAAGGGAAACAACAAATGTTGCCTTTGTAGACAGGTGGTCACTAAAGCAGGTTTGACTGTAATATGTCTTGTTTGTGTTTTAGTTTGAAGCAGTAGACCAAGTTCACCCAGACCATCCCTTCCTTCTTATGACTGACATCAAGTGTTTATCACCATGGCCAATCACTATCATAGACAGTACTCTTATACTGGTGAGTAGCTATCCACCTAGATGACTGATATCATCAAAGAAAATACTACTGTATATAAAGCAGTTGGGTTTTTTTTTATTTTCATGAATTTCGCCCTTTTTTTGTGTCTCCACCCACCAAAGTGGTTGCCAGAGGCATTCATTGTATGTTCTTCTGTTCATCCATCCATGTTTGCCCGTCCCGCTTTCTTATCATCATGAGGTGTCGTGGTCGAGTGTATATGTCACCGGACTGTGGATCACAAGGTCCGCAGTTCGAGTCCCGCCGTGGCACTCATGTCCTTTGGCAAGACATTAATCTACATTTGCCACACTCGACCCAGGTGAGGTAAATGGGTACCTGGCAGGAATTAATTCCCTGAAATGCTAGAGCACTGTAATGGCAGACATGCTAAAGCCAGGGTAATAATTTCCAAAGCTCTTTGGAAGCGCATTGAGACGATATAATGTGATATACGCTATACAAGAACTGAATATTATTATTATTATTATCTTAAAAGCCATTTGTGGTATGAAATTCACACTTGGCGCTAGCATTTATCAACATAGGAAGTAAAACAAAAATACAGTTAGATTGGGGGTAGTTTGGTCTAAGGTCAAAGGTCACAGAAGTCAGTTAATAATAGTTACCGGTATGACTAATTAATCTTGTGAATGGCTTTTAAACAAGAAATATATGAAAAATGCACAATTGTAGGGAGGGAAAGTGAGCAGGGTTTGGAGACAGATCATGAGATAAATGATTATTGTCAGTATACAACAGATGTCTTTTAGAAATTTGTGTGTATACTAACTGTGGTTAAGTTTACAGATTAAAGATACTATGTCCCTTTTGCAGCCAACACCAAATTCTGTAGAATTTTGCAGGAATTATGAATATGTCATGTATATCCATCTGTGAAATTTAAACGTTAGCAGTGTCCTAATATTCAAATTATGCAAGGAAACCCGTTTACTTGCTAGACTTCACTGTCAGACACTTTTGAGTGACTGACTGGCTTTTTTTCTTCATTGGTAATAACATACATAAAATGAGCTGTAAAGGGTACATGAGCATTTGTCTACATCAATAACCCACTTCTTGTAATGGCCAAAATTAAACTGATTGAATCTTTGCGCAGCATAAAACGTATGACCATTCGGTACAATGGTCTTCATATCAGACTATTACTTAATGACTTGGTAGCACTTAAGTCGATTCGACAACTAATAGTTGTTATTTTCCCACTTAAAGACATTTTCAAGCCCCCTTTTTTATAGGGAAGTTCTAAATAAGTATTATCTTTCAAATTTTGTTGGAATTGAACCTTTTCATGTTTTCGGCCTGCAAATGGGACATAGTACCTTTAAAACTTGTGCAAAGTTATGTAATATAAAGAACATCTGCTTTACATGTAAAGGCTCGTGCAGATATGAAGTGGCAAACCGTTGCATTTTTTTATCGATAATGTGATAATAAATGGCAACTGAGTGCAACAAAATTCCTATGCATATTCAATGAGCTCTGTGTTCTAAGATAAAGAAATGTAAAGTGTATTACATCATTTTATTTTAAAAAACGCTGTGGTTTAGCAAATCAGGTCTGAATGAGGCTAAAGAGTTACATATTACTAGATACACCAGGTTAACATGTAATTCTTACTGTTTTCTATCGCAGAATGATCATGTACGAGCTACAGATGAAAAACAAGAATCCCAAGTAGCGAAAGGTTAGTATCCTTCCATCTATTGAGTGGTGAAGTGTGATGTCATCAAAAAATCTTTTTTTAGAATTTCTCATTTTTTTCTTCATATTCCGAAAGAACACCAAAAATGATGTCCAAATGTCGAAAACAAATTGAATATGTAAAGTATTGGCTGAGATATCACCATCTGAATGAATGTTATATGCTCATAACCATTAGGAGCCAGAGCATATAACACTGAGTTCCTATGGGGAGTATATTTATTCAGATGGTCATATCTCAGCCAATAATAATAATAATAATAATAATAATAATAATAATAATAGCCTAATAGTCCACTCCAAATTTTATTAAACCGAAACGGAAATTCTTTTTGCCCAATTGATCGTGAGCCCGGCAGCCACTGAGCAGCGCCAGATCGACGTTGCTCTATCCCTTATTGTTGAACGCCAAACAAGGTAGCAACAACTCCCATCTTTTAACATCTTTTGGTATGACACGGCCGGGGTTCGAACCCACGACCTCCCGGTTGTGAGGCGGACGCTCTACTGACTGAGCCAACACTCCGGATACTGATCATATTCAATTGGCTTTCGACATTTGGACAATATTTTTGATGTTCTTTCAGAAAATGAAGAAAAAATTGAGAAATTCTAAAAAAAGATTTTTATGACGTCACAGCTTTGGTACTCTATTGAGTTTATTGAATGTATTCCTAAGCAATACTTGATAGCACGTTACAAGGTCATGTGCTTTGCCTTTGCATAATGCTAGTGACCTCTACAGTTTACTGCTCATTGGTTTGTGCAAAAATAGTTGAAGAGACATATAAAGCCATAATAATAATAATAATAGTGGGTTCTTGTATAGCGCTCATGTCAGTCAGATTTGACCCTCCTGGCGCTCCCGATTATTACCCTGGCTTTAGCACGGCTGCCATACGGCATGTTTAATTACAGTTTTGTGTACCCACTCTAATACTTCATCTGTTGGAAGTATTTTCATTTCAGTGTTAAGAATCAACCAAGTTATCAAGGGTTTGTGTGTTCCTAATACGCAGGAACGGTGATATGATAATGACAGACTCTCATCCCATGGCACTCAAAGAGTGCTGTAGAATGGTGTAATGTTGAAGCAATCTTGGTCTCTCTTGGTTTGCCACAAGTGCAACTATGCACACAACAATAGGCACTCACTGACAGATGGATTGCTTCGTGCAACTCAGTGGCTTTGCAAAATTACCCATTTCGGGTCTTGATTGGCTCCATGAGGTAGAGGTGTTGTGGTATAGTGGTTAGGTTGTTGGACTGTGGATCAGAGGGTCCGCGGTTCAAGTCCAGCCACGGCACTAATGTTCTTTGGCAAGATATTAATCCACATTTGCCACTCTCCACCCAGGTGTTAAATGGGTACCGGTAGGAAGGAATTCCTGGAATGCTGTGAGCGCCAAAATCAGCTGCCTAGCAGAGCCGGGGTAATAGTTGGATCGCCTTGAGTACCATGCATGGTGGATATGTGCGCTACATAAATATCCAATATTATTAGGTGATACGTAACAAAGTCTACGTATCACCTTTTGATTTCGTCAAGATTTTTCTTTATTATTATTTATTTTTATTATTCTTCCTCGAATTTGTTCGCAAGATATCTCAAGAATGAATAAAGCCATTATCATGAAACTTGCCATGATGATAGATCTTAGTCTAACTTAGAACTGCATGACTTTTCAATGACTCAAGGTCATCGTGACGTCATCTAGGCGCCATTTTGTGAAAATCAACTTATGATCATATCTTCATAACGGAAAGGAAATTCTCATTTATAATTATCAGGATTAAGATCAGTATCCGTCCGGTCAATTTCAGGTCAAAAAATGCACGCAAAAATGCGCGTACGCGTTTGTGCGCGTGTTAACGCGCGCGTAAAATTTTTAATTGCTCAAAATCGTCTTAAATTTTTTTTGCATACGTTTTAGGCCATTATAAGCATTTTATAAAAAATCGCGCAAAACACGCGTTTTTGCGCGTTTTCGTTCGTCACGGCCGAACGAAAAATAATTACCCCTCAATTTTTTTGGACAGGATATTCCTCATATTTTTCTGAACAATTTGATACCATCTTCATCTTTTTATCACTATTAATAACGGAATGAGCGTCCGTTGAAGATAAATATCCGTGCATGCGAGCTCATGTATTACATAGCATATATGGGCAAAAACATGCCTATAAAAAGTACATCGGGATGAATAAGGACTGCCAATTTTGTTTCATATTTAGATACAGTATGAGTCGGAGATATGATTTCATATCTTATTAGGCCATTAAATACATCTTGACGTCATCATAATGGCCTTGAAAGTCAAAATACTAAATTGCATATTATGACGTCATTATATTTATGGAAAATTTAGTGTATTTCTCATAATATTGACTGATTTTCTTCCAAATTTTGGTATCTTGTAGTTGAGGCAATTTTCTTAATTTGCGTGTTATGCCTAAGGAAGGTGAATTATGCTATAGCTAAGACTATGTGCTATCTAAAGCTATGGTCACAAATCAGAGCAGCGACCGACCGATCAGTAGCCTGCTCGGTCGCTGCTGGAATTAGGCATCGCCCAGCGATTAGGTCGGTGCCCGGGCGGCGACCGCCCAGGCACCGAGCGTATTTTGGGCGGCGAGTGAAAAGTGAGCAGGCGCCGCCCAAATTTTAACTCCGCGCTAAAACTTCAGCGGCGACCGAGTGATGCCCTAAAAACGAGCGGTGCCTGGGCGGCCGCCGCTCGGTGGCCGGGCAGCCGCCGGGCAGAATTGGTTAAAAACTCGCCGCTCGGCCGCCGAGCAGACTACTTTTGGGTAATGTGACCATAGCATTAATCACCCCTCATTTTTTCAATAAGATGTCAGGATCCCGCTCATGATCATGATCTTCATCATGATTATCATGATCATCATTATCATGATGATAATCATTTATCAATTACATTTTCATTTCTTTGAATAAGATAAAATCGTCAAAAGGTGTTCTTCATGATATAAATTAGAGTCACATGTGTAACTGGTTACTGCACAGGGTCAAAGGTCGTACATTGTTTCAATCTATCTTCCCTAGATCCATGATGATCAAGGAGACACAATTTAATCTTGACATATGAATAGATCATAATGGGAGAAGCATATGAATGGGAGAAGCAAAATAATATATCGTGTAATGCATTATTCGTTATGTAAACAATTATCATACGTATCACCTAATTCGTCTAAGTGACGAATTAAAGTCTAGTTATTATTATTATTATATGACAACCCATATTGATAAATCTTGTAGTGAAAACAGTTCAATATTATTGAAGAATTTGAATATCTATCCAATGATCATGATGATAAATGCAATGGGGCGCAGAGAGATTTATTTGTGTGGCACATAAAGAGCTAATCTCACTGTGAACATGACGGACAAAGAAAGCGGACAAAATACACATTCCTCAGGTAGACAAAGGAACATCCCTTCACTGCTATTATGTAAAAATGTGTAGAACAGGTGAATATGCATGTGACACCTGTTCTACACATTTTTATATAATAGCAGTGAAGGGATGTTCCTTTGTCTACCTGAGGAAATGTATATTTTGTCCGCTTTCTTTGTACGTCATGTTCATAGTGTCTTTCCCCCTATTCCTGCTGTGTGTATAGTTACATTGAAGACGTCAGAGAATGCCACAGAGTGTATTTGTATGGAATCACAACCGGAGACTGCCCATGGTCTCATCTCTCTGGGCAGCTATGCCATAGAATGGAAAAGGTAATCATCTCATATTATTATTAAAGTAGAGGTTCATTGATTTTAAATACTGATTTAATTTTTATCATTACATTAGGGAAGAAGAATATAAAAATTCCCCTCTTAAAAACATTCAAAGTAATGATTATTATCAATTTATCATTCAGTTGTAATGTCAATCAAGGACCAAATTGGAATATGCAGACAATGCCCCCTAACAATGCACATATTTTCAGTGTCTGTTTCTTTGTCTCTTCACATATTTCTCTTACTTCACCAGCCGCATTATAACTGTTTGATACGTTGCCTCACTTTAAATTTTGGATATAGTTTTGATGAAAACTACAGCATTATAAAAGAACAAATTAATGAATCGGTTGCAGCTTTATATGGCTTGTAAGAAAGAGCCCATCGTACATTCAGTTGCCTACACCAACGCATGTGTAGCGTTTTAATCGGTTATAATTAGTTTTAATCAGGAACAAACATTTACACCGTCCATTCTATTGTTCAGTTGGCTTTTCAATTCAAAAGTGGACTGATATTGCCCTGAATGATTCTAAGCAAACGATTAATATTATCAGCTTCAGCATCACTTCCATTTTAAAATGGTGTGAAATGAATTCTTGTTTAATATCAATCAAACTCTTATTGTAACCAAGAAATAACTACACTGAAAATAGGTTCATTAGTTATAGGATGTCATCTACTTGGTCCCTGATGTGATGTCATTAAAACATCCCCAAATTTCTAGCAAAATGCTTATAAACCCCAGATCCTGAGAGGGGCTTTGATTTGTCTTAATTTGTTATTGTTCGATACACAGTTTTACCTCAAGTTTTTACGATTGTCATTTGTAAGCTTCCTGGTTGCTAGTGATACTTTATTGGCCATTGTGATTTTCAATGAATGTCTACTTTAAGTTCAAGCTGTGTGAATCTGATGAAGATGGTTCTAACTTGAGTCAAATATTACTAACATCCACTGTTCAAGTCTTGGGCAGAGTATTTTCAGTGTTTTTCTATTATCTATGTAGCACATTTCTATGTAAATAGTTTATAAAACATTCCTTACAGTTGCTGTGTATTCCCCAGTATAGAGATGCTGTCTAGTGAAGAATGACTTTAGTATCTTACCTGTACTTATTTTAACCCAAACTTCTGGAGTGATCATGTATTTCCATAACTTAGAATAATTGGAAAATAATCAATTTTAAAACCTCTCGGTTTGGATGAAAGTTTGGATAATTCATTTTATTTATGACAAAAAACTGTTGTTATTGTGAATGTAAACATATTTAAAATATGAAGTAAGTTACTTTGTGAACCCTTGTAGAAATCAGTTTAAATTACTGTTAAGGTGTTCCACGATATGAATTAAATCCACGATGTATGAGCTCATATACATGAGAAATGGAAATAGTCCAACATGTGATCACTTGTTTTGTACCCAGAGCTGATCTAAAGCTACCAGCTGTAAAGACTGTACTACCGCTCCCTGAGGTGACACTACAACAGCTACCCATCTACATCACCTCAGATCTACCACCGTTTGGGCTAGTCAGGGCTCCTCTCCTAGCCCAGTACCAGGTCTCTAATAAGACTTCTATTGTTCAGTCAGTAGAAGCCTGTATGGAACCTAGTGATGCGTTCATGTTCTCAGGCCACAAACAGGTGAGTACCTCAGGGTTCTGTTATGGGACCTTTGTTGTTCGGTCAGTTTGAGCCTGTATGGAACCTAGTGATGCGTTCATGTTCTCAGGCCACAAACAGGGAGTACCACAGGGTTCTGTTATGGTACCTCTGTTGTTAAGTCAGTATGAGCCTGTATGGAATCTAGTGATGCGTTCATGTTCTCAGGCCACAAACAGGTGAGTACCTCAGGGTTCTGTTATGGGACCTGTGTTGTTCGGTCAGTATGAGCCTGTATGGAACCTAGTGATGCGTTCATGTTCTCAGGCCACAAACAGGTGAGTACCACAGGGTTCTGTTATGGGACCTCTGTTGTTCAGTCAGTATGAGCCTGTATGGAACCTAGTGACAATTTTATGTTCTCAGGCCACAAACAGGTGAGTACCACAGGGTTCTGCTACGGGACCTCTGTTGTTCAGTCAGTATGAGCCTGCATGGACTCTAGTGACAATTTTATGCTCTCAGGCCACAAACAGGTGAGTACCACAGGGTTCTGTTATGGTACCTCGGTTGTTCAGTCAGTATGAGCCTGCATGGACTCTAGTGACAATTTTATGTTTTCAGGCCACAAACAGGTGAGTACCACAGGGTTCTGTTATGGTACCTCGGTTGTTCAGTCAGTATGAGCCTCTATGGACTCTAGTGGTGATTTTATGTTCCCAGGCCACAAGCAGGTAAGAGTCTGACACTATCAGTAACACAGGGTTCTGTACTGGTACCTCTCATTTTTTGTCAGCCAAAGCCTGTTTGAAATTTAGGGATGGTTTTATGTTTTCAGGTCATAAAGATCTGACCCTAAGGTTTCTGATAGATGTAAATATACATAATATGAACCATGATTTTGCATCGCAGTTTGGATATGACACAGCTAATAGTTAGGGAAAAGCTCACTTTTGGTGCTCAGAAGTGTTGTTTAATAAATCTGTGCTCTCTCTTTCTCTCTCTCCTAATGTTACTTCTAGATTTTCTTCCGTATCTTGCCATCTGGCCAGCAGACATTGACCTATAACCTTTACCCTCTGGTACCTGGCTACGTCAAACTACCAAAGTTGAAGCTCAAGGTTCCATATGCACCACAATTCAGAGAGGACTTTGTTTCAAAGATACTACCAACACACATCTTTATCAAGGTCAGCCTAAGTATAAATTGAGCAGAAATTAAACCTTTTTTTTTTTTTATAAAAGAAGTTCAAATGTAATCCCCAAAACTACCTGTACTTGTAATGAATTCAGTCATCTTCTCGTCTGATCTGTTACAATTTGATGTAATGCATTGATACATGATTAATTTGTCCATCTTCATCAATATATCCAGTCCGCCATTGCCGGTCTAGAAGCGAAAATCTGTATTCTTTGAAAAAAATATATATTTGTGATTATATTGTGCATTTAAAATGCACTTGGTACTATGTTTCTTAGGGCTATGCTGCGTTTTCTTTATCAGAATACTGTTGATATAACTCAGTTTTTTTTTATATAATAACTTTACCTGTGAGAAAAACATAGTCTGCTTTCCATCCAAGAGGCTGAATGATATTGAAGCCATTCCAAAGATATGTTTACAGATACAGACAAATTTGGGAATACTAGTTTCTTCCTCTCATTTTCCCCTTTCTTTTTCCCCATTCCCACAATATTTTCTCCCACTTTTAGCTTTAAATACTTTCTGTATCTCTGTCTTCCATTTATTTGCATTGTCCAGCCTCAAGGCAAAGATCTAGCAGTTGCAAGTTAGAAGAGTCTTCATCGTCATCATCATCATCAAACACCACAAGCCAAGGAATGTAATGAGCAAGTTAGTAGAGTCTTCATCGTCATCATCATCAAACACCACAAGCCAAGGAATGTAATGAGCAAGTTAGTAGAGTCTTCATCGTCATCATCATCAAACACCACAAGCCAAGGAATGTAATGAGCAAGTTAGTAGAGTCTTCATCGTCATCATCATCAAACACCACAAGCCAAGGAATGTAATGAGCAAGTTAGTAGAGTCTTCATCGTCATCATCATCAAACACCACAAGCCAAGGAATGTAATGAGCAAGTTAGAAGAGTCTTCATCGTCATCATCATCAAACACCACAAGCCAAGGAATGTAATGAGCAAGTTAGTAGAGTCTTCATCGTCATCATCATCAAACACCACAAGCCAAGGAATGTAATGAGCAAGTTAGTAGAGTCTTCATCGTCATCATCATCAAACACCACAAGCCAAGGAATGTAATGAGCAAGTTAGAAGAGTCTTCATCGTCATCATCATCAAACACCACAAGCCAAGGAATGTAATGAGCAAGTTAGTAGAGTCTTCATCATCATCATCAAACACCACAAGCCAAGGAATGTAATGACACCTCGGAAGTGGACATTGTATGCTGACTGAAGGGACATTAAATAGGGACTTTTACATTTACGTGGACTGATACGTGTGACGTCCATCATCATCATCGTCCATCATCATCATCAAACACCACAAGCCATGGAATGCAATGACACCTTGGAAGTGGACATTGTATGCTGACCGAAGGGACATTAAATAGGGACTTTTAGATTTGCGTGGACTGATACGTGTGACGTCCATTCAAGGCAGTGCATTAAAAGGACGTCGATCGTAGCAATCCACGTTGTTGTTCGGCAAATCTAAAAGTCCCTATTGAATACTGGTGATAAGAACGTATTCTCTTACGTTCCTTGGATACTGTTATCAAGAACCCATTCAATCCCCTGGGTTGAGAGACACAGTTTGAATGCATTGTGAACCTGGCATTAGCCTGGACTTGATAGTAGCTCTTATGAAATATTGTTTCAAATTGATTTTAACCATAATTGCTTTTGCTCTCAGATCATTCTCTGACAAAAATATGATGTGCTCGACCCTGGCTTTAAAAATTGAATTATAATGATGTATTAAGTGCAATACACCTCACATTTCTGTATCTTATAAAACAGAACTCGTGAATACGCATACTTCATTTGTTGTGTGCGATTTCCATTCACTTACACGTTAAAGAAAAAAAAATTGCTAGGGTTTACCACTTCATATCTGGAAGAGCCTTAAGAATTGTTATTTCCTGAGTAGAGAGTTATCTACAACTTAACTGCATATTTTATGATTTCATTGGCAATGATTTGAACCATGATTCTAAACTTAATTATCATTCTAACTATTAGAAACTAGTAGAAATGCTTTTATTCTTATGAAATACAATTTGTAATCTTGAGTAGTTGTCATAACGACTGCAGTGGAACATCATTGTAATAGGAACGGGCCTAATATCTTGATCCTCCACTATATTTGTCAGTGTGATATTTTTTTCTTCTGGTTTGTTTCCTCCAAGACGACTTTTATATACAGTAAAACCAGAATCTTTACCACTTGCAAAGTTTCACACCGCTTAATGATTAAATTACAAGACTGAAATTTGTAATTTTCCAAGTTTCTTGTTGCAAGAATGGCTATTTGTAAAGTGTTCCAATCACATGGAAAAATAATTTGTGAATTCCTGAGATGTTTAAAATCAATATCAATAAACTTTACCAGGCATTCTATAGGTTAATGGTTAAGGAGTATAGAGAGAATATATATATGATAACAAACATGTAACATTGCAGATATATGTAAGACATCGTTGAAAATTGACTACAGGAACATGCTAGATTTTTTTCCTTGTTTTGAGGCGAGATAGAATGCATATTTGACATTTCATACTAAATTGTCAAGACTGCTTTGCACGTTACACAACAGGTACATGTATACTCTCCATACATAGACTCTTTACAAACCTCATAAATCACTGATTTGTCTGAATATTGTTCAGTGAATTTTTCATTGCTAGACTTATAGATAGGAAATGAAGGAGGGCTTATCATGAGTTGAGATTTGATCAGGTATATTCCAGTGAATCAACTTGATATGCACATGTCAATATCTTTCTTTTATTTTGTGCAAAATGCTGTATTGTTTAAATGTCCATCTCAACAGTGCTCATGTTGGATGTTTGTTGCATGTTATAATGACGTAGAATTACCATACAATATTGGTTTCTTTACAAAAGGAGTCAGAAATTATAGTGTATAAGAGATAAGAATTTAGTTTGACATATAATGGTTATAAATGTGAATAGAGAAATATATGTCATGTTTATTTATATAATCTGGATATAAAGAAATTTTACCTGTTGATGTTTTGATCTATATGTATGGACCATTGTATGGGTCTTATTATTTGCTTTATACTAGAAAATGTTCATGTGTAATTAGTCATGCTGAGTGTAAGAAGGGCCCTAAAACTGTATTGACAGCCTTCTCACTCTCACAAGATGAATTAACCATTTTATATTAATGGTATAAAGGTTGTAAGCTTAGTCTGTGGTTTATATTGATGCTAAAAGGAGAATTATTACAGTAGTTGTCCAGTGGTCTAATTATTTCAATTGGTCATGTACGATGTACAACTTTTTGTATGAAATGATTGTGTATGAGTAAAATGTCAAAAAATGTTGATGTGTAATATCTAATACATTGTTGCACTATCTATCAATACCAACATGTTAGCAGTATAAAAGTGAGTAGTTTAAAGGTAAAGATCAACCTTTTCTGAAAGATTCCACACCGTTTTTTTCACAATGCAATCACATGACCAGAACTCAACTTTATCTTTAATATACAAATGATGCATATGCATAAAGTTCATTTGATGAGCTATCGGCACCCAGGTTGAGGAAGTATGCATCTATCTAATACAAAGCCATCAGTCCGAGTATGATAGGTGCCTATTCAGCCTCATTGAGAGCAGATAGATTGTATAATGAACATGAAGACGTGCATCATTTGGTCTATAAAACAAAATTGCTAGATTCTGATTCGTTCATCGATAAAACAAGGAGACATTATTGGTCCATGTGAGTAATGATGATAAACTAATAAGCTTGGTAGCCTTATTGTAGCATGCATACAAAGTGCAAGGGCACTTTCTTCTACATGCATTCACGTGAAGTGCTTCACCTGTATCAGCCCAGACAAATAATGGCACTCGTCTCTGTGTGTACTGCTGTGCATTGTGTATCTTAAACTGTTGGATAGTATTGGAAACTATTGCATGCTTTTAAATAGAAAAATGTGTGATATTCTCAATGAATGTTTTCAACCAATTATTTGATTAGGATCTAGGAGTGAGTTGTATAATACATGTATATACCATGGACATTCCAATGTGAATCCTTTGTGCCCATACCAATCTACTGTATAGGTTTAATGGGCTAGGCATCAATGAATAAATGATTGTTTTTTTCAATGCAATTGACAATATATATTACTTGTACATGTATTTCATCCCCAAAATTAATGTAAAATATCATTTTGGCATAGTAATAGAAACAAAAATAAAATGACCCCTGTATATTACACAAGAAATGTATAATGGTCGTTTTCATTTATGTATTATGTTTATGTATTGTTGAATGGTTTCTGATCAAGAATATCTTTTAGTACAGTGACAGATTATAAATACTTATTCAAAGAGAAGCAGAGCGGGTCTTAAATTCAACAATTAATTATGTCGGTATTTTAGTTAGCATTTAACTTAGATACATCACATGTAGCTCGAGTTCTATTCAGATTACATCTAAGTATTTTACATTTGTTTAGTAAGCCAATTTTTACTTGCTAATGGTCATTGAGACGTTGTATAGCCAATCCAAACTTCAGTAACATCACTTTACACTGAATTTTGCAATATAAAGTGTGTCCTAGAAAAAAGGAAACCAAGAATTATCAATGTTTTATCATAACTTCATCAAAATGATGATTAATAAATGACACATATTTGGAAAGCTTAGATCCTCCTCGTTCATCTGATGTAACTCGTATGATGCATATTTTACGCATGAGTGATAACAATGAATTTGAAGAGAGGCAACCAAAAAGTCATTTGGCGGGCGGTATCTGAATTTCAAAGAGAAAATCACATTTCTAGAAAGTTCATTTTCTGCCCTTTCATATGACACCTCAATCAGGAAAAATGAGCCAGGAATAACAAAGTTCTGTTTGTCTAAAGTAATGCTCGCATTTTCATAATTTGATGAAACGAATTCGTTTTCACTGGCTGCCGTAGCAACAGAGTTGACAAAAGACTTAACTACGTTTCGTTGACGATCAGCCATGCACAAAGAAGACGTAAGACTTGATGCATATGGCTGATCTTTCTAAAAATATAATTTTCTTTAACATATGCACAGTCTCCCACAAGCTGTACCCTTCTTTCATTACAAAACAATCTGATCTCTTTCACCTCCCCGCGTTGAATGCCTCAATTAATACATTTTTGTTTACCAAAGCCATTATAATCTTGTTTCTAAATATAACATTTCTCAACTGTGTAATCCAAATCCGTATGTTTTTTTTTTAATGCAATAGTTGTGATGGATGTACTTTCCATTCCATTCCATTAAAACCTGATTTTTAAAGCAATTCCCACTGATCTATACGAAAAAAAAAGCTGGCTCAGCGGAGATCGCAGAACTGGAAAACATGCATTTCCCAGTACTGTGGCGGACATTCATCGTATTTCGCCATTGCATATAGTATGCATCATAGAGGGCGCAATGTACCAATCTTTGCAGCCAATAAGTGGGGTATTTAAGGCACACTGCCATACTTGTAGCTACTTGCTCCCTCTATGTAGAAAACTTCCCAAATCGGTGCCTGTTGGTCCCCCATGATCCTCTTTTTCTTATGTTAAATGAGAGCTGAGTTAATGAGATAGCCCCCTGTCACATTGACCTCGCTGGCTCGCTGTGTGGTCTAATCCCTTCTTGCCCAGTAGTGGTGACGGTCTTAAGAGAAAGGAATAATTTGTTTGTTTAATTCTATTTCTGCCGAGTTTCGCTGACACCGATAATTGCGCACAGATCGGTTTACTAACATTCAAATTTTATGTATACTTTTAAAACAAAATGTTGTTCTTGACAAACTGCAGGCTTACCTGAGGCATGGCATGCCCGACATAGTAACGAGCAATGTATGCAGACTGGATTCAAGTATTATAGTTCATTTATGGAATAAGTCGTCATTAGGTCCCCAGGAATGAAACATCCCTAAATTTGAATATGTTAGTAAACCGGTCTATTAGAAGAGATTGACTGTATATACAAGAGAATTTAAAATATCTGCTTATAGACTTCTAGAATAAATATGGAGGAGAGTGGAAAACATATCAATTTGGTTTAGTCGTTGTGTAATATTTACTCTCAGTTTTGCGCTCATTCACATCTTTACTTAAATCTGAATAAATTGGACGATTGAAATTTGAATCAAAAACATTTTTATGCAGTACATGCACTGCGCGTACGCAGAGTGGTAGCTATTTGTATGTCTGTTGATGTTTGTGTGCGTGTGCACAAATATGCGTGTGAGTGTGAAGATGTGGGAGTGCGTGTGTGCGTATGTATGTGAATGGGTGGCGGGGGATATTAGCGGGGGATATTAACGTTGATTTACATTGATTTTGAATGAATTCTCTAATAGAAAAAATGGGGGAAATTGGGGGAAACTGTGTGTACTATTATGAGAATGTGTGAAGGAAATAAAAATCAGAGCAAATAACTCAAACAGCATTAAGAAGAAAAAGAGATACATGATTATTATTACTGACAATAATGTGTACGGCTCTCCTCAACGGCCCTTTCAACTATTTAAATTAAATATCCTAAAATCAAACACATTGACGAGTCGGCTAATGCCAATAATGGTTAAGAATGCAAAACCGAAGAAAGTATAGCTCTTTAGGTACAACAATATAGACGCTCAGTCATTCAAAAGCAGATGTAGATAGTG